TCTTAGATCGCTCGCCCACTGCGCCCCACTATTTATAGATACCAGTTGTTTCTGTGACTTCATGAACAGATTGGTTGCATGTTTGCTGTTATAGATCAGTAACACCAAGACATCTGTGTCATCCGCATAAACAACCACTTCATCCGTGCTTTCGGGAATCATGATAGCTTGCCTTGCAACAACAACATCAGCATCGCCCTCTCCACCTGCATGTTCAACAGGTATTCCTTCTGAGGTTCTGAGAGCTGGTCGATTAAAACCTGCTTATTCTGCTTGTTTGACAGGAAACCTGCTTTATCTTGAGGGACAGGAGTTGTGTTCTTCACTATTATGGCTGGTGAAGGTATCTTTTTAACTTTTCTCCTCATCTGCTCAGGCTCCTTGGGGGGTCTCATTTTCATATGTGTCAAACACAACACAGCATGGACGATTCGGTGTTGTTCTGTGCATAACACTATCAACATAGATCTTGCATATGTCAGCAATGGTACCAATCTTTGGCCATGGTATATGCTGGAGACGTGCACATCCATCAATGACTACGCCTGGTGTTGTGTGTGCTTCTTCTTTGTGGTAATGCGTATTCGGCCAGGGCAGGCTTGGGCATTTTCTCATGGATCCATCATCATGGAAGAGAGCTGGTGACACTGCTGCAAGTTCAAAGGAGAAGACATCATTAGATGGGGACCACTCGCAAGAGTTATTGATAGTAATCGCTGATACAGCTCCATTGATGACATCCTCAGCTGTGCCCCGTCTGATAGGAGGACACTTTTTCATGGTGGCAAATGTGACTACTTGTGATGCCTTCTTCAACACATTTCCAAATGCCATCCCTGTCATATTTGTGCAGAGAGCAGCCATTTGGTGGGTGATGTGAACCAAAGTACTTACAGGAGATGTATCATGTCAGATTCATCATTTTAGCCATGCGAGTGAATCCGGCTATGGTACTGTGACTTATTTAAGGATATTTTTGACAAACACGGACACGTTCATTGTGCTTTTCTCATGGGAAAGTCACGTGTAGCGTCACTCAAGCAGATCACGATTCCTCGATTGGAACTTGCGGCAGCCACAGTTGCAGTAAAAGTTGATAGATTGTGCAGGAGGGAACTCGAAATCCCTGTTGAAGAAAGTTGGTTCTGGACTGATAGTATGTCGGTTTTGAGGTATATCAATAACCAAACTACCAGATTCCAGACCTTTGTCGCTAACAGGCTCGCCGTCATTCACGACAGTTCAGAACCATGCCAGTGGAGATATGTGGAATCAAAGTTGAATCCAGGCGATATAGCTTCCAGAGGAGCATCTGTTGACACACTCCTAGACTCAGACTGGTTCCCAGGACGTTGAGAAGACCCGAATCAGAGTGGCCAGAGACACCGAAGCTTGAAGGAATCCCAAATGATGACTTGGAAATAAAAAATTCCTCAGCACCAAGTTGTGTACCAAAAGCAGACTAAATCCAGTTGATGATCCAATTGCAAGACTGTTTACTACTTCTCAGACTGGTACAAACTAAGAAAGGCAGTGGCGTGGATCCTGAAAATCCGAAGTGCACTCCTTTCTAAAGTGCAAGGGAAAGTAGACAAATGTTTGTCATTGACATTGACAGATATCCATGAAGCAGAAAGTATCACCATCAAACAGGTGCAGAAAGATTTATTTATGTTGGAGATCAACACATTGTAGTCATCAGGGGGAATACAGAAAGGAAGCAGCCTAGTCAAGTTAGATCCTTTCATAAGAGACGGTGTTCTGAGAGTTGGAGGTCGACTTAACAGACTGGCAATGCCCGACTATGTGAATAATATAATAGTACTTCCAAAGGAAAATCACATTTCAATGCTGATCATTCGCAAGGTTCATAAAGATTTGGGACATGTTGGTAGAAAATCACGTGTTGTCTCATTTGAATACCAAGTATTGGATAGTTGGTGCAAACTCAACTGTACGAAAGGTGTTAAGGTCCTGCGTCAAATGCCGACGTCAAAGAACATTTGCAGAACAGAAAATGTCGGACTTACCAATTAATCGAATCACCCCCTGGTTTGTTCGGACAAGGTGATGTGTACAGTCGTCGCCGATGGAAGCAGGTGCAATACATGGCAGATCTGTTCTGGGGCCGGTGGACGAAAGAGTATCTGCCCCTCCTCGAGACTCGACAAAAATGGACGAAGATCAGGCGCAACATGTGCATTGGTGATGTTGTGCTCATAGTGGACAATTCCATGCCGAGAAGTGTGTGGTCCATGGGCCGCATTGTGAAGTTGTATCCGGATAGAAAAGGACTCGTTCGAAGTGTTGATGTGAAAACACAAACAAACATTCTTCGGAGACCTATCAGCAAGTTGTGCTTGCATTTGGAAAGCGAGTGTACAGAACTATAGATGATGGTGCTTGCACTGATCAATCAGTGTGTTCTGAGTCTAGTCAAATGATTGGTGTAACAGTCATATTTTCAGTGTTTAAATGGCTATAGACAATTGAGATGAAAAACAGCAACAGACAATCAATCAGCTTTAAATGTTCTATTTCACTGTTTTGGATTGTGTATTTTGTGTGTATTATTGTTTTGGGTGTGAAATGATAGAAGCACATTTGATGTAAATGAAAGTACTGAGTATACAAATTTTGATACATTGTACTTGGTGTGAGTTGAGATATTCTGTACTGAGGCAAAAGTGAAAAAGGTGTCCTATGTGATGCTAACAGCATATGACTTAATATGCAGAGAGAGTTTGAGTTTTATAGAGAATCACTTTGGTTAAAGTGTTAACTTGTTGTTTATCATTGCTTCATAATGTAAGGGTTAGAATAATTCACAATTGAGTATCCCCTTGATATTGTTTAGCAGCTTATATATGTATGTAATTGTTCAAGTAGTACAACAATTAGGGGCCGGTATGTAGCTGCCGTGTGGCCTGTTCTAGTCATGGTTTATTTTTAGAACGCTTCTATGGTGTCACGTGATATGTAATGTGACCGGAAGCCCGATGCCATGTGCTTTTCAGTTTTGCGAGAGAACGGTAGATGTCTTGCAGTTTTTCAACCTGTAGTCAACGATTGGCATTGTATGTTCAGATAGTATATGCAGATAGTACAGATGTGTAGACATATGCAGAAGAAATAAATAAAATCACAGTTCAAATGATGCCGATCGTCGTGTTGAAAATGAAAGCTTTTGTCCATATTTCCTATGTGTGTAGGAGGCATATACACGTGCTCCCCGTGGGGTGCATTTGTTGGAGGTTTTTAATTGCCAAAGACCGAGTTGCTGTGCCGGAAGTGTACAAAACTAGGTCGTCAGCGCAATCAAATTGGTTAATAAAATGACAACAAATGCACGTGCTAAAATGAGAGGGAAACTCAAACATCTATCATCCAAGATGTCACTTTCTGATGTTTTATCTTGGTAAGAATAATTTTAAAAACGAATACAAATATTTTTTTAAAGAAACACATTCATTCAGTGTAATGTGTTAGCCAATCAGATCGCCGGAGGTAGTGAAGTCGAGCTAGTTTGGTATACTTCCGGCACAGCAACTCGGTCTTTGGCAATTAAAAAACCTCCAACAAATGCACCCCCACGGAGAGCACGTGTATATGCCTCCTACACACATAGGAAATATGGACAAAAGCTTTTGATCCCGGTGAGGCCTTTAAAATAGGATATATTGATTGATGTGTGCGTAATTGTTCGGTTTTCGATCATGTCGCCGTATTTCCGTGATGAACCTTTATGTATTATATAGTAGGGGGTGTTGATACTAAACCGGGGCCTAGTTTATCGATTTTCTGACCCGCAGTGGGGGCCTGTGACAAGGAGCCTACAGTACCGTGCAGTGCAGTGGGTCAGTACACTGAAGACCCCCATTCTAACCCGGATCTCATTGCCACTTAGAAAGTATAAGCGCGCACGCACACACACACTCTCTCTCTCTCTCACACACACACACACACACATACACTCACTCACTCACACACACACGTCTTGATACAATTTCAACATCTATTTCAAAGTCAAAATAAGTCAAAGAACAAAAATTTCATATGTAGTAAAAGCTCTGAAATCTCATAATTCTATTTCATTTACCATGTACCTGTACCAAGTAGTACCTGTTACAAACACATGCAAAGGCAGATCAACTGAAACATGCCGAAAACTATCAACTGCATTGATACGTCAAAGAATAGACTAACTGCTAATCTCTGAAAGGAAGATATTTCACAGACAAAAAAGTTCATACAGTAACAAAAATAAAATATAATGAAAAGGAGCCCAGAGACTTTCGTCTGTGGAAATCTAGACTTGCCACATTTTCTAGACTTGCGTGGACTTTCTTGGATATATTTGCTTCAGGGTCTGTATGACAGACTAGTCAAAGAATTGAAAGAAATACTTTACCACGGTTTGAAAGGCATCAAATGTAACAGAATGTTATAAGTATTATACAATCTGTAAAATGTTAATAACTCTCTGTTAATCATGTAAGCCTAATTGTGCTTCATGTTTTCCAGCCAAATGCAGCTCTGTTCTCTTAGATTTGCATATCAGAGATGTTCAGTAATCTGTTACGTATTTCAACTCTGAATGGGTTTTTTTTGTAATCTCGATGTATTACCTCATATGACTGTACCCTCTCAGCTGAGCTCCAAATTAACATGACAATATGTTTTCTATGATTGTTCGACAATGGTATTAATAAAGCATGAGCCCTTTCTAATCAGACCAAGGTGCTGCCCTGTCATATATTTGCACATTTACTGGGTACGACGTCACGGACCATACAGACTGAACTAAAAATACCTGATCGCGCAGCCCCGTATGTCTGACACATTTCACACTTAACCTACCTCCACTAAGCTGGCTAACTACTACCAACACCGCTCGTCATCCGAACAAGTCAGAACCCAGTCACGACACTGCGGGAGGGTGGAGCAATATTTAATGTGGTATAACTGCACATATCCGTCACAAATTCAATAGAATCTAAATATAGATTTGTATATAAGTTAGTTCATTTACATAGTGAAAGGGAGGTAACCGTTCCCCGTGAGGCGTGTGTTGCTTACAGTTTGCCAGAATAGACATATAAGAAGGTAAGTTGTAATTAAAATCAGCCAAATGACAGAGGATATGTCCGTTTAGGTCATAGACATGTGGACATAACCGACCGATATCGCAACATTACCGGACATAATGAAATGCACGCTGAAGAAGATGAACGAGAATGTGTTACTTTCCTTATATAAATATTTACTAAGGCTGATATAATGATTGTTTCGCTAACAGTAAATGCCTAATATCTATATCATTTCAGAAAGCAGGATGAAGACGCTGATGCCCAACCAAGACACAAACAGTATGTATTGCTGTGATGCATAGCGATAGTGTTGATATACTGGATATGTTCTGCGACCCGTAACTGATGTATCAGTTTCTTCTGACCTTTTAGGCTGTAGTCCATATACTATACTGCATGCCTGGCTAACTTGTCAGACAGTTTGCGGGGACATGGTAGTTATATGTAGATTCGGCGGAATGCTGAAGCTGATCTCGCTCTGTATTTTGGGTTGGACTGTGGTGTTTTCTGGGAAACATTTCTGTGTCACCGTGACCCATGCCATTATGTCTAGCCATCCAGTCAAAACGTTCAGCGAACAAGCGTCAATTTGATTGAAGGATGAGTGATGTAGACATCATTTTATTTATCACGATAGTTTATATTGCTATGAATGTGATACTGAATACAAGGACAGCTGCAATTGCTTAACCCTTCAAACGCTAGCACTTTGAAAGCTAAACATTAAATCACATGACATGGACAAGGTTATCCGGTGACGGAAGTCTCGTCGCATCTAAAATATGTATTTTTAAGCGTTATTCTTCTTTCTGAAGGTCTCTTGTGTTTGTTTCACTAGATGTAAAGTGTATTTGTCTGGGCAGCGTTTCCCAAAACGATCACAGCACTATGTGAAGGTCCGGGTTAGAATGAATCTTCAGTAACCAAAGCTTGTCGTAAGAGGCGACTAAAGGGATCGGGTGGTCAGGCTCGCTGGCTTGGTTGACACATGTCATCGGTTCCCAATTGCGCAGATCGATGCTCATGCTGTTGATCACTGGATTGTCTGGTCCAGACTCGATTATTTAAAGACCGCCGCCATATAGCTGGAATATTGCTGAGTGCGGCGTAAAAGTAAACTCACTCACTCACTTAAAAGCACAAAACCTACAAGTGTTGTTTTACATTTTGAAGGTCTCCTCTGTTTTTCTTACCAGATGTCAAGTGTTCTGTCTTGACCAGCGTCCCGGTGGCTACAGCTAAGGACATGAAAGAGATAGCCCACTATGCCTCATGGCATGCCGCGAACCACATGAAGCGGTACAGGCACGACGCCCAGCGAGACGAGGAGACGGTCCGGCGCCACTACAACAGCCTCTGCAGTTCCGGTGTCTTCAGCCACGACTTCTGCTTCATGTACGAGCAAATGGCCTGGGCAGCTGCCTGGAGCACAGCCAGTGAGAGGATGGGGAAGAAGAAAGATGCTGTGCTGTACAAGCAGAAATGGTTAGATTGTCACATGGAGCTTGTCCTGAGCAGGGAGATTACCGGTCAGCTTGCCAATGATCTCCAAAGCCTCTGCTGGTCATCAGCCTGGTTCACGGCCAACACGAGGAAGGGCTTCTTCTACAGGAAAGATGCGGCTGAGGATGCCAGGAAGATGCAAATATATTATGACAGGATCCGGGGAAATTAAGATCCAGCGGCATGAAATTTCAGGCGTGACATATCCTGAAAGTAGAAGTGATTTTTTAAAAGCAAGATTATTATATATTATCAACATGTGTATTTAATATACTCGATCGCTGTAATAATGTATCCCATTTAGCCATACTGATTCAGATCCAAGCCAAGAAGATAGAAGACATTGAGGACTGTAATCTCATGCACAATGGACCTTTACATCATACGAACCAAATATTTCTTTTAGTGAGGCATGGGTACTAATGAAACTGTCAAATGAAAAAAACAAAAACATTATTAGGTAACAAGAAGCAAAATGAACCAAATGTTAACAATTGGGATTAACTTAATAACAAAGAATTGTTTCTTCACCCAAAGTTAGAACGAGCTATATACAGAACAGGGTATTAATTTGCTGTTATACATTTAATGAGATTTGAAAGTTACTTCATTATATTTTAAAATTGAAATGTTTGTATATTCCATATATGTGGATATAAATTATAACAGTATGCATTAGTTAATAACAATGGGAATAGCACGATCTGTATAATATATACTTGACTGCACACAAGGGTGTTAAGCAGCATTTTCTATATTGTAACAGTGGCTAATTGGTCTGTTTGATAGTCATGCCATATCACATGCTTGTGATATAGTCGCGTTGGAACAATTAATTCTGCTTTTAGCGCAGATTTCGTGTGAGTAGGAAAGTGGTTTGGGCGTTTTTATTACTATTATTATAACAGAAATGGTTTCCAGTAGTTTTATATACTGTAGACATTCGATTAAATGCTTTATATTCGAATTCTTTTTTGTTTGATCAACTGATTTTGTCTTTGCCAGTAGATATAGTCAGCACGTATGAGCATGCCTCACTCATCTTCCACAAGTTGGTTTGTAGTATCAAATATGCACAGGAGCACAGCGAAGACAGTGAACACCAGCAGTTTTCCAATACACAAAAAAGTGTTGTTAGGATGTTCATAATTACGCATTGTACAAGGTAGAGAATTACTGCTTCCTAGGTTCATCTAGCCACACATGTACAGTGGCATTTTCAGTCATATTTCCAATAAATGATACTTTGCAACTCCATGTATATTCTTGTGTGTTGGTGTGTAAATGTTGTAACACTCTTGGAGTCTTAAGGCAAGGTTGGTCTGTAGAGGTTCAAATCACACATTTCCCTTAATGCAAACCATGTTTTTTCCGTACCCAAATCGAATGTTTGTTGTAATTGCAACATTTATTGTATTGCCATATTGTTACAGTTTATATGATGGAATAACAGCAGAAAATGGAACTCTTTGTTAACAAATAATATGTTAATCACTGACGTATAACGCAACATTTGTTGTATTGCCATATTGTTTCAGTTTATATGATGGAATAACAGCAGAAAATGGAACTCTTTGTTAACAAATAATATGTTAATCACTGACGTATAACGCAACATTTATTATATTGCCATATTGTTTCAGTTTATATGATGGAATAACAGCAGAAAATGGAACTCTTTGTTAACAAATAATATGTTAATCACTGACGTATAACGCAACATTTATTATATTGCCATATTGTTACAGTTTACATGATGGAATAACAGCAGAAAATGGAACTATTTGTTAACAAATAATATGTTAATCACTGACGTATAACGCAACATTTATTGTATGGCCATATTGTTACAGTTTATATGATGGAATAACAGCAGAAAATGGAACTCTTGTTAACAAATAATATGTTAATCACTGACGTATAACGCAACATTTATTGTATTGCCATATTGTTACAGTTTATATGATGGAATAACAGCAGAAAATGGAACTCTTTGTTAACAAATAATATGTTAATCACTGACGTATAACGCAACATTTATTGTATTGCCATATTGTTACAGTTTATATGATGGAATAACAGCAGAAAATGGAACTCTTTGTTAACAAATAATATGTTAATCACTGACGTATAACGCAACATTTATTGTATTGCCATATTGTTACAGTTTATATGATGGAATAACAGCAGAAAATGGAGCTCTTTGTTAACAAATAATATGTTAATCACTGACGTATAACGCAACATTTGTTGTATTGCCATATTGTTACAGTTTATATGATGGAATAACAGCAGAAAATGGAACTATTTGTTAACAAATAATATGTTAATCACTGACGTATAACGCAACATTTGTTGTATTGCCATATTGTTACAGTTTATATGATGGAATAACAGCAGAAAATGGAACTCTTTGTTAACAAATAATATGTTAATCACTGACGTATAACGCAACATTTATTGTATTGCCATATTGTTACAGTTTATATGATGGAATAACAGCAGAAAATGGAGCTCTTTGTTAACAAATAATATGTTAATCACTGACGTATAACGCAACATTTGTTGTATTGCCATATTGTTACAGTTTATATGATGGAATAACAGCAGAAAATGGAGCTCTTTGTTAACAATCAATATGTTAATCACTGACGTATAACGCAACATTTGTTGTATTGCTATATTGTTACAGTTTATATGATGGAATAACAGCAGAAAATGGAACTCTTTGTTAACAAATAATATGTTAATCACTGACGTATAACGCAGCATTAATTGTATTGCCATATTGTTACAGTTTATATGATGGAATAACAGCAGAAAATGGAGCTCTTTGTTAACAAATAATATGTTAATCACTGACGTATAACGCAACATTTGTTGTATTGCCATATTGTTACAGTTTATATGATGGAATAACAGCAGAAAATGGAACTATTTGTTAACAAATAATATGTTAATCACTGACGTATAACGCAACATTTATTGTATTGCCATATTGTTATAGTTTATATGATGGAATAACAGCAGAAAATGGAACTATCTGTTAACAAATAATATGTTAATCACTGACGTATAACTGATAAAACACATACAGACACGCATGAAAATGTGCACTATCGCAGACAGAGGCACAGAAAATGTGCACTATGTTCGTATATTTTATCTGAGTGGGTTTCAATGAGACATGACATCTTAGAGAGCTAGCATTATAAGTAGAGCCAGTATTGGTTTGGGCTAGTACAAAGAGACTCACACATGCACATTCGCTAACATCGCCTTACCTATGTCAGATTCTGATTTGTCACCGACCTTCACAAGCGCCGTACAAGTGCTTACTGAAGAATACCATGGAAAGTGTTTCCCTTCAGTTCCTAGGGTCTAATGACTATCGGTACACACATTTAGTTCATCTAGGCACAATCTAACGGTACTTTGAAAAGTACTTGAACGATAAAACAATGGGCATTTTACGATTTAAGAATGCCCTCAAACATAACGTAAGGGACTGTTCATAATGTATGGCTAGAGAGAGAGGGGGGAGGGGGAGGGATGATTTTTAAGGAGAAGCCTGTACAATGTGAATGACGTCATAAATACATTGGAGGAATCATACACCGATGCGGAATTTGCTGAGAATTATATTAGAACGGTATGCAAACAACGTAACACCACGACGTGTCTTTATGATATGATGCTGCGTGGGAGGGAATAGGGGTCATCACTCCAGTCCCCCGACTTGTATAACTTATATGAATATATATGTACATGTATCTCACAGGTTGTTTGTTCCTCTAGTTGTATGTTGTTATAGATGTCAAGTGTGGTCACATTTCAACTTTATTTTGAAATAAGAATGAATTAGCGGGGCTCGTGAGGACGTGACGTTCGTTCTCGAGATTATTTTCCCTGGAACGATCAAAGGTTTTTTGTGGCCAATGGCTATGATCGTAAACACTTATCATGAAATATTTCAGTGTCAGAATGTGGCCAATGCCAAAACTGGATTTCAAATATCGCACTCAAAATCAGTTACACCACAGTATTACACAACCGTATTACATCACAGTGCGCAGAATTATCACGGCTTAGTACAGCATGTGTGTGAACAGCCCGGCTTAGTACACCATGAGGAGCAGACAGACATGTGACATCACGATGAGAAGACAGACATATGACATCACCGTGAGAAGACAGGCATATGACATCGCGAAGAGAAGAGAGACACAGTGACATCAAGAGAAAAAGACAGATATATGACATCACGATGAGAAGAGCGACGTATGACATTACGATGAGAAGACAGACACATGACATTACGATGAGAAGACAGACACATGAGTTCACTTGCCTTCTTAATTAAGAGAAAGTGAACTCAACATAACATCGTTACAAATTTTAATTCATTATGGCATACGTAATCACAAAGGTCTCACACAACTATACCTGGAGAAGGGGAGTAACGTAACACAAAGCAGGTAGCCGGGCAGGTGTCCTTCCGCTTACGTTCTGTATCCATGCCTGGTCTTGACTAGACGTTCGTATTTCAGTTGTGGACAGAAAAAGCATGATGTTGAGGATTGTTTACTTAGTGGAGATAAAGTCGACTCACAGCGTTGTTAGGCAGCTAAAGTAGGCTAATAATACAACTTGATATACAGTGATGTACAATATACAGCATTATATCGCTAACGCGTGAACCAATTCAGAGTTATTTTCTCAGAGCATTTTCTTTCCTGTCTAGTACACGAAAATTGCTTTCATTGTTTTCGAATTGATCAATAGCGCAGTGACATCGTCAACACTTTGTCTCAAATAATCGAAAATGACATCATCCATACTTTATCAAGTGACATACTGTTAAAAATGACAACGTTCAAAGACAGGATCTTTTGATCTCATGTTTGTACTTGAGATCAGCAACCCATTTGATGTTTTTTCCAAAAACAGGAAATATCAAAGAAAATCGTGGCGGCCGTGAAAATAGCCAAATCGGAAGTACGGTTATCTGTCTCTGTCTTGAAAGCATGTCACTCCAGCTCGCGACTAAGTCACTCTTTATACGTAATCCGTAATTCCTTGTTACTCGATCGTACGTCATTCTGTAGGTGTTTACAGGGAAACCTCGGACAGCTTTAAAATACACGAGTTTGTGCTGAACTTCACTGTCCACGTTGGTACTTGTATCCACCTCTACCCCATCTATATTCTAGGTCGGTCCGGTGTCAGGGAGTGGAACCCACGAGACGGTCAACTAGCATGTCGGGTCAAGTTGTATTTGCTGTGTGATGTCATGGAGTGGTGGAGTGGCCTGGTGGTTAAAGCGTTCGCTCGTCACGCCGAAGACCTGGGTTCGATTCCCCACATGCATACAATGTGTGAAGCCCATTTCCGGTGTCCCCCGCCGTGATATTGCTGTAATATTGCTAAAAGCGGCCTAAAACTAAACTCACTCACTCATATGAGTCAGCAAATGGTTCATATGTTATATTATTATCTTTAATTACTACTTGATAATCTGTTCAACTTCGGAGAATGAGGATTCACGATGAGGATCCACCGGTCAACAAAAGGGCGACTTTTCCACCAACTGTCCACACAGTCAAAGCGACGCCGGTTTCATTTTTTACAAGAAGTCTTTGTCGGGAGTAGGGGTGGTTTTGATTTGTGGTTTGGACTGTTTGGCCTTTGGAACAATTCTGTGTTAATTAGTGATACTATAATTACAGTGATAATAAGGACACGATGCTTGTACTACGATAATACAAAACTAAGAGTCTATATGGTTCTATTTCAAAAGTATTTGTTGAGTTATTATTTTTTAGATTGAATTCACCTCGACAATCTCTTACTGTGAGTCAGTAAAACATGTCGACAATAACTTGGATCTTCGGCGTGACGAGCGAACGCTTTAACCACTAGGCTATCCCACCGCCCATGTCAATGGGAAATAGAGTTGGTGTTTCAGAGTACAGCTTCACACCGCTACAGAGGCCTCCGTTCGAATGATCAGCTGATACCCCAGATAGACCCTTCCGCATGTGGTGCTATTAGACAAGGTGTAATAAATGTATATTGTTATAAAACGATCGATCATTTCTATTAACAATAATAATTTAATCTAATTAGTATTTCAATCAGAAGTATTTTGACGTTAATAAGTGTTCCCAGTGTTTTGTCGTCATTCCTATAATTTATGATTTCATGTATGTAATCTGCTTGGCCTTTATTGTCTCAAGACATTGATGAACTGTAGTTGTTGACAGATAAGTGAGCTGATAACGAACAGAACGCCAATGACCCGTCCGGCTCAAGTCTGTGTGTGCTTCATGTCATGTCATTAAACTGACAATCAAACTACACAAAAATGGCTGATATTACGTCACATTTATAGGCATACCCTAAACGCTGATCGTAAAGTTTTGAACAGACAATTGCTGACCACGTGTTAAGACTGCTTGACCTTCATAACAACAGTCGTAAAGACGTTATCAGCGACAGTTTGTACTGGAGATTGTACAATGATGTCGATGGAATCTGCTTCCCTGTGTATTGCTGTGCCGGGCGTTTACGATACCCTGTCACCAACGACTTGAGCAGGTCATTAGGCCCAGGCGGATACCGGGGTATGTGGATTATGAAATATTATACTTTTAAACCTGTGTCGAGGTCCAACACACCTGTCTGGAATAGGAAACGTTGTTCCTGTCGTTGATGATGATGTTTACCTTCGATGTCGTGGACGCAAGTAGACCAGGTAATATATAAACAGTTTATTGAACATCTTATAGAAAATAAATGCATATATGTCATATGTCATTGATGTGCTACTGCAATATTTATGTATCAGATTAGGACTGGGGGCGGTAACGCTAGTATACTCGTGCACTAGTAGGACACATGGATAGTCACGTGACAGCTTGTTTAAAGACAGTAACAGTAGATACCCGTGGTCACAGTATACATGGCTCATCTGATTTAATCACATTACGTTTTGACTATGAACGCATACGTTCTAACCTAAATATGTAATAATAATAAATAAGTAATAATAATACCTCAGTTGGCTTCAGTGTCTTCATTGCCACATCGTTCTATGTACGTGTACATCTATATTGTGTTTACCTAGTCCCTGGTAACAACATTGCCAATCGGACATACTATATTGTACTTAGTTTCTGAGAGCCACTGCAAGATCCAGTGGCAGGTATGAGGGGACATGATATCTGGTAAGTAGATCTAGGTACATCCCAGCTCTGTACAATGTTAGCGGTTAAAGCATTCGCCCGTCATGCCGAAGACCCGGGTTCGATTCCCCACGTGGGTACAATGTGTGAAGCCCATATCTGATGTCCCCCGCCGTGATATTGCTGGAATATTGTTAAAAGCGGCGTAAAACTAAACTCACTCACTGTACAATGTACTACTTACTCAGCTTCACTTCCCTTCCCGTAGCCTTGACTACCAGGCCATATATTCCATAGATGCTAAGGACATTGCTGAACATTCCCTTCAGCTGCTAGAGACATATTTAATAACGATATGGTGATGTTGGCACCGACATCATTATTGTATCAAATAAATGTCCTGACCCAGCACTGTTTAACATCATTTACTGCGTTTCAAATGTCACCATCTATTATGGCTGTTAGCACAAACAGAAGTACCACTTATGTACCGCGTGTGTTTAGCTTATGGAGGAGGTCTGAACACAATGCTTTCAGGTAAGGACGCTTTTCAGTTAATCATATTGTCACTATGGACAGAATGTTTGCTCAAGCAACAAGAATACCATAGACGATAAACCCCCGTCCCCAAGACCCCAACAAGAGCGTGGCTGGTGCCTTGTGTTTGCCCTTGACAGGGTGCTAGTAAGAGTTATCTCCCCTAACTGTCCTTTACTGAGGCCCATTTGAACCTGGCACAAACACCTGCATAGACACGGTGTTACACAACGCTTTGTGTGCATTTAGTACCTTTGGGGTAAAGAGGTCAGAGTTACCTCATTTATAATCTGTGCAAAAAAACGCCCGAAACGTGGAAGCGTGGGTATGAACGTGAATGGGCGGGGACCAGAACCACGACAGTCAGATTCGATATGTGGGTGTATCAGCTGAAGTTATTGCTATCATTCATAATTTATGTTCAGTTACGCAAAGGACTAAAATGTGAGAACGGTAAAATCTGCTTATTATAAACTCCAATAAACTATCTGAAGTGATTCAGGTTGTAGAGCCGAATCTCGACAGGCCTCGACAGCAACCCGTACCTACAGCAGCATAGCTCAAGCTCAGTTATCAAACCGTTTAACTCCTACATTCTGGTGGCATGCAGTGACTCACAAACTGTTACAGCGTTTAGCCTGAACACTGGGCGCCAGCAGCTGATACATGCTGTTAACCTAGCTTGTCTGACCTAAATCTACAGTAATCATACGATCGCTTCTGGTGGAAAAGGTTTATGTCGATCTTCCGGTTATCTTTTGTTTAGTCCAACAGGTGACTTACCGAAGACTACGAAGACAAACTAACTTTAACATTATGATCATTTTACTGTTATCAGTGTGACGTGTCACGATTTATCCATGACGTGTCTGTCAACTAGATTGACGTGTCACGATTTATCCATGACGTGTTTGTCAACTAGATTGGGTATCGGTTGGGTACAATGAGTGATGAGCTGGCGCTGCGAGGATGTGGATGCATGCTGCTTTAAGCCGCAGTCAGCAATATTCCAGCTCTATCGTGGAGGCTTATCAATAACTTAGATTTAGCCAGGGATACCACTAATAGCTATATCAGTGCGATCGGTATACGCTTAGTATTCCCTCATCTGTCTCACAGTCCCTGAACCACATTACTTTCCCTACTGCCAAGCCCTCCCTGCAATGCTAAAACCCTAAATGAAGCAAGACTAGATTTCCCCAGGTTCCTGAATTTCCCAACTTAGTGGGTCTTCTTTTTCATTTTGTGTATTTGTTACTATCAAAATTATATATATTCAGGGACTAAGCGTTAGTGTAAGTATCCCCTTACAACACTGGAAAACGTATTGGGACACGACATACAAATTTCAAGCTTTTGTCTTTGTTTCTATTCTAACGCCTCACTCAGCAATTTTCTAGCTATATGACGGTGGTCTGTAGCAGCGTTGGGAAAGCAGGCCAACCTGAGCTAGCTTTCACTGATGAATGTTTCTTTAATGAGTAACCACGGAGATCAAGAAAAACGGACGAATGAATTTAGACGCACAGGATCTGCATACAGATGTATGACATACAAGTTGTTATCCGTAATATGACATGTAACTTTTGAATGAAATAACAACTCACGCCACACTGATGATCCATATCTATCTATCTATCTATCTATCTATCTATCTATAATAATATTTTGAAAGGGCCTAAGCGTATTTACATATTAATACATGCTGTATCAGAGATTGTCTGAAGAAAAGATGATAGCCCTCCGCCCTATTAATATAAACACAGACTATATGAAATTACCAAGATATTTTACGGATTTAAGCTTCTTTATTCTATCCCACACAACGTTTCGGGATCATTACACCTCACAGTTGTCAACTGTTACTTCACCCGAAGAATGGATCTGTAATGATCCCGAAACGTTGTGTGGGATAGAATAAAGAAGCTTAAATCCGTAAAATATCTTGGTCATCCATAACAACTCCTAAATGCCGCTAAAAGACATTATATGAAATTAGCCGGACAATCTCACGTACATCACAGTAAATACACTGGTCAACACGTGGAATATCAAATGAAGGGTGTGGATGTCAGTGAGATTAAAAGTTGTCCGGACAAGACAGAACAAACAAACACTATTTACTTAGCAGCTTCCGTGTACCATGTGATCAAGAAGTATTTAGTATTTACTGCGTTATAGGAACATATACAGTACACACCGCTTTCCCTGTGTTTGTCCTCGAGGTAATTTACTCAAATGCTTTTGGTGTACTCATTTCCCCTGTTATCGAGGCATACTGGTCAATTCGAGCATGTGTAAACAATATAAAAGATGGTTGAAAACATGCTGTTCTGGTTTTCGTTTCAGGCAAACTCAAATGAAAGTAAAGATGATTCGGGAGGCAAAATCCTTGTTGGTTGTCCGACCATATAAAGCATGCTTCAGGACGAAATATACTCTAACCATGATCGCAATCACAAGACGTGGGGGCCGAGTGTTAAAACATTACCTCATCCTCATCACCAGACGCTGGATCCAAGTGCTTTTCTTCATATTAATAACGATGTATCTGTTGTCGTGGACGTACCCAGGCAGATCATATTACTATCGCCGGGAGCGGCAGGTGAACAAACTGCAGTACAAGTTCATCACGTCCCCCGAAAACGTGTGTGTCGGAACCAACAACCCATCTTTACTCATCTTCGTCCTGTCAACGGCACAGGCATATGCTAAAAGACAAGCCATCAGGGACACCTGGGGGAGTGTGTCCAGAAGTGGACGGTGGCCAGCCAGACTCATACCCACCACTGTAAAGGTGGTATATCTGCTCGGACATTCAAGTGATTTAACTTTAATCCATAGGCTCCAAAAGGAAGCATCTGCATATGGCGACATACTCCAGATTGGAATTAAGGAGTCGTACGGACTTCACGTCACTAAGAAGATATTGATGGGGTTCAAGTGGGCGAGGGAGAATTGCCCTGGGACGCAGCATGTGATGAAAGTGGATGACGATGTGTTTGTCGATCTACCGCAAGTCCTTCATAGACTTCAGTCCCCAGAATGGTCATCGGCATTGTGTGGACACGTTGTGCTTCTGTCTTTGACTCGTAGGACAGGAAAGTACCATTTAAGTTTCCAAGAATACCCTTACATTCTGATACCTCCTTACATACTTGGATACTTCTATGTTATGCCTATGGACATTGCCTCCAAGCTTGTGGATGCTTCAGAATATGTGCCTTATCTGAGAATGGAGGATGTTTATATCACGGCAATATTGTCCAGAATCATTAAGGTGCAAATCAAAGGATTTCAGACATTTTTCTCTGACAGGAATTATGACGTTGATGTATGTGATTTTGTGACTAAAAAACGTGAAGTAAGTGTGGATGTGAGTCCTGACAAGATGTACCTGGTGTGGAGAACGTACATCGATGACGGCATATGTAAATAGGTGTGAAGAAAATGCTTCCTGGTAATGTTTCATATTTGTGACCACAATCAATTCACGATCTCCTACCCGTGAAGATCCGGGTTAGAACTGATCTTCAGCAACCCATGCTTGCCAGTGAAATGGGATCGAGAGGTCAGGATTACTGACTTGTGGGACACATCATCGTATCCCGATACGTAGACCGATGCTCATGATATCAATCACTGAATTGTCTGGTCCAGACTCGATTATTTAAGGACCCCCGTCATATCTCTGGAATAAGTGCTGAGTGTGACATTAAACAACAAACAATACAAACCCAACAAACGATCATATTTTTCAACCAACAAACAAAAGACACAATCTCTTCCGGCTCGATTCTGTGCAATAACGTGTTCTTGTTTCCCCGTGGGAATGGGGGCGGTGGGGTAGCCTAGTGGTTAAAGCGTTCGCTCGTCACGCGGAAGACCAGGGTTCGATTCCCCACATGGGTTCAATGTGTGAAGTTCATTTCTGGTGTCCCCCGCCGTGATATTGCTGGAATATTGCTAAAAGCGGCGTTAAACTACACTCACTCCCTCCCTTGGGAATGACCAAATTGTTTATATTGACCGAAATACGTTTGGAACAATTGATTCCTTATCAACAGAACGACATGCATACAACACTTCTGTTATTTCACATCCCAGCCCACATACACGATATACCACCATAGTCCTGCGATACACAAGAATCTCCTCTTACAGATAAACTGGATCATATTTATTTACGGCTGATCTTCGAACAATTTAAGGGGGCGGTGGGGTAGCCGAGTGGTTAAAGAGTTCGCTCGTCACACCGAAGATCCGGGTTCGATTCCCCACATGGGCACAATGTGTGAAGCCCATTTCTGGTGTTCCCGCCGGGATATTGCTGGAATATTGCTAAAAGCGGTGTAAAACCATACTCACTCACTCCCTCACACGAACAATTTAAGAGGGAAGGGATATTAGCATTGTCTATGTCCAAATATTGTATTAATGGATTAGCGAGACGTACACAAATGGCAATATCAACTCACCACTAAGTTTATATTTTCATATAAAATGACCATCCTGTCTCCATTTTTCAGTGTTATATTTATTCCTTCAAACGTGACATAATCATACTGAAAACTAAAACGGATTACGACTTGACATATTTTGTTACTCTTTGTCGCCATTTGACAACCGTTTTAAATGAACGGGGGCGGTGGGGTAGCCTAGTGGTTAAAGCGTTCGTACGTCGCGCCGAAGATCCGGGTTCGATTCCCCACATCGGTACATTGTGTTAAGCCCATTTCTAGTGTCCCCCGCCGTACTATTGCTGGAATATTGCTTAAACTGTACTCACTCCTTGAATTCAATTGAAATCTCTGTTTCTGGTATCGTTGGTAGGGTGGGGTGTCAGAGGTTTTCATGGACAAGTGACAGATAATGACACTGTGTCAATGCTTGTAACATATTGGTCGACCCTTTCCAATGTTCTCGTGTTTCCTTTCTCAGCCGACAAAATGCAAGCACCTTGCTGACTTTTTTGGAAAACGGTCTATTTTTTTCATGACCCTTGACTACACGTGACAGTGAATCGCCTGACTCCCTCTCACCACACCTCTAAATACACGCACACGCACACGCACACGCACACACGCACACACGCACACACGCACACACGCACTAGCCAACTGTATTTGTTATCAAACGATACAGGACGTGGGTACATACCGGTGTGGCCCTTATCCAGTTCTATACATCCGATTGCAATAGTGGCTTGCACTGAGTCGGTGCACATACCATCTCATTGAGGTAAATAAATATATGGTATGTGAGCCGTCCTCAAATATACATGTTGCCCTACACATTCAGAGATAAGGTCAAATGTGTTTTTACGTCCCGCGAAAGATTACTGAGCTCAGAGGCCACCCGTACTTTTCAAGTGTTTCTCATCTCAAGCACGAGAGTGGGTTTGCGGAAAAAAGTTGTCACTAACTGTGTAGCTTATCTTTTTAAATTTTGATATTTTAGTTATTTTTTACTTAGATCGAGTCACTTTGCTTCCGGAACTGACATTGACAACCCCGCACTCTTTTATCTCGTTAATGCCGAGAAGGGCCGGTTCCAAAAAACTAACCTTACGCTCTATCTACTTCACAGCGTACATTACAATACAGTTGAGCCTCACCTTTGCGGATACTAGCGTTTTCTCAAACATTATCCGGCTGAACGAATTCACGGATAACCGAATCACTTCACAACAAAAAATTCTACAGAGGCACAAAAACGCACACCACGTTGGTATTGATTGCCTTTTGGGGATATATTTTGACATAAAGCACAGCTTGCTCAGTCATCGTTAAGATTTTCTTGGGCCCTGTTATTTCTATCGCGTAAACGTTATGTTAGCTTATAATTGTCGTAACAAATATGACTTTATTTGTCAAAATATGGTTTCTGTGATATATTTATCTATTATCAACCAACATTCGTTTCAAGGCGTAGAGGTGATATGCAATTTGTTGGTTTAAATAACGGGGATTTTGGTCGATCATGATGTCGCCGAAATGAATTAATAAAATTAAGAAAATAGAATCCAAATACAAGTACAGATATACAACGAACATATACTGATAAGCAGTATGTATATTGACTCGAGCAGATAACACAGGTCACATGATACCCACCCCGTTGATGTTGCATGCGGGTGTTGAACTGCGAAACATACATCTTCAAGCATGGTTGTTGTCCAGTAACTGGGATACAATACTGCTAATTTTCCATTGGTGGTAATTGAAATTCACCGTCCGGAACCCTAGGCTGGATTTCCGTCCAAAATATACCATTTAAAAAAGAAATATATATTTCGTTTCACTTAAATATCGTCCGGTATAAGAGGTTTCCGGTTATCTAGTGTCCGGATAGGCGGGTTCGCAGCATTACACAAGCATGACGGGTATCACAACACAGCAGTCTGTAAATAAAAGCAACTTAACCTAAACAGGTGGACAATCATGAAAACTCTCCAGTAAAAGCGTCCATTGTGCGATTCTAACTACAGTTGAGGCATGCATATCATGTGATACACTGTCATACAGAAGACTGATGCGCCACTTCGCTGTCTCACACCCTCTTGTCATCTTCAGATTGAGTGAGTGAGTTTAGTTTTACGCCGCTTTTAACAATGTTCCAGCAATATCACGACGGGGACACCAGAAATGGCTTCACACATTGTACCCATGTGGGGATTAAAACGCGGGTCTTCGGCGTGACGAGCGAACGCTTTAACCACTAAGCTACCCCCTCGGAGCACTTGTGTGGCGACATGCCCATTGAATATTTTCCTATTGACCGGTCCCCTTACTGAGCTGTGTGTGTCTTCTACACATCTGACTTGATAATGTCCGCCGCCTTCTCTGCAATCATGATGATGGGGGCTTGTGTGTTCCCTGACACAGAACTTGGCATGATGGAGGCGTCCACGACTCGCAGTCCAGCAACTCCCTTTACTCTGAAACATGAGAATATTTGGTTTTCAGTAAACATTTACGGCATTGCCATTGTCTTTACCAAGTTTTTTCCCTTACCCAAGTCCGGATCCTCTGATACCGTCGATTATGACCTTTGGTTGTCCTCCCGAACTGTCACATCGCCATATAACAAAGCGAGTCATGGCACCATGTCCGCTGACTTGGTTGATCGTATGGCAATTCCACAGATCGATGAGGACAATAAAAGGGTTGCCTGTTTCAGAATCGATTTTTTACAGACGGCCGTTGTATAACTGGCATATACTATGTCGTTTGACAAAAATGAACAATGCAGACACACACGGCACTTGCCTTAAGCTTGGGTCCACTACTGTGGTGGGGTCACTTGTTTTCCCCATTCTGCAGGTGCCGGTTTGATGGTTGCCTGTTGTCGCCATTGCCCGGATGTAACACTCCCAGTATTCATCAGTGTCGTACTGCATAGTGGTGCATGTCGGGAAGGGTCGGTCATCAAGTTTGGTTCCGATTTCATTAAATGTCTTTGTCTGATGAAGTTTCTGGTTCAGCCGAATTCCTGCAGAACCAAACATATACATGCACAAATTATACAGCACTACATATTTACTGTATTTGGGATAACACCCAGAACGAGACTGTTCCAACTACGTATACATACGACCATCCAATCCCCTTTGGTCGCATCTTGCAGAGTTGTGGATTGTCATTTCTACTCTGGATCTCCACTGGGCCCCATTATATTCTTATTGTGTACAGGAACGTTGTACATTGTACACATGGAATCTAAATCCAGACATCAGAGTATTGTTTCCGGCTGCTGAAGTAGTTGTGATGATGTAAATTAGTATAAACCGCCATGATTTAAACGTTAAGTAGGAAGTGTGAAGCACTGGAGTGAGTCAGTTGGTAAAGTTGGAGGGAAGTGGTGCGGGTTTACTACTTTGTTGAAACAGCCAAAATGCGGACACGGTATAGATAAACCTAGAACCACGATGGAAGCAAACCGGGAATCGAACCAGAGATCCTGTCCCATTGGGTCCATAGAGCGAATTGCAGCGCCTCAGACAACCCATATTGGAACACATGTTCTTACATATACATTGAAAAAAGCAAGAATAACTTTCTATTTTGAAGGATTCATTTCAATGTCAGTTCCTGGCTTAATGATTATAGCATGATGTATAGTATTAACAGATACATATCCTAAAATAGTCTGAAAATATTTTCTTCTTAACGATGTGGTGATACATTTAAACATTTTGGACTACCTCATTCAAAACTAAACATAAACATTTGTCGACATAGACAATAATGTAGAAACATTAGTAGAAACCTAGTTTTGATTGTCACCTCTAACCAGAGTCTTGACATCATCTGGATGAGACAGGTAGTTAGGGTTGATGACAGGATGCTCGAAGGGGTTGGTGCTTCTTAGGCGGATTGTTCCCTTGCTCTTAGGTCGGAGCAGAACCGGCATTGTGAGGAAACCTTCTACTGATGTCCAGTTGTAATAGTCAACTACCTGGAGAACAGCAGGGATGGAAATAACTTTAAAATTGCTAGTGTACTCCGGAACAGTAGCACATGTAAAATCACTTGCCCTGATAATTTTTCCACTATACCGGCCGTCTTCTTGTTGATTTTAAAAATAAACAACATTATTAACATTGGAAAGTCAACTGGACACCGGTACAGTGTGATATACAAATTTGCTTGCCCGACAGAAAAAAAACACTGGACTCGGACGTCGGGCAATGGGTTATTTCCACCCCTGAACAGATAGCAGATACTTGCAGTATGTGAGATTATTCGTCGGTAAACTACACATATGTGAACACACAAAATATAGTTCTCAGCCCCTGGCCATGAGTGAGTACTATTGTTTTTCCAGGGTGTGTATTAACAGGATAGGGGCCTTCAAAGTTACACTTGGAGAAATCAATCTTCAGAAGAATTGGCCAACATCCTTGTAAACAATAGCGACAGCCTTCCATAAGCAATCCATGCAAACAGAGAGTCGATTGTACGTTCCTACCATATTTCACTATTCACATGAAATATCCTATTTATTACATGCTTCCCATTTTGTTTAATGGAATTTAAACCCTTTTAGTCCGAGAAAAATTCAAATTGGAATAACGAAATAAAAATTCTCCAAACTTTAAACTAAAGGCTGGTCACTTCTTTCTTGAGACAGACAGATATGACATAGTTCGATATTCGAAAATATCATATAACAACTGAATCAGCTGCTATCTTTAAATTTATTGGGGGTGGGGGTTGGGGGGTGTTTCAAAATATAATCAGCACCTGTAATAATATGCCCTAAAGGAAGCATTTGGCCTTGGCGTAAACGTCAAAACTCGGTGCTGGTGAATGAACCACATACAATCATTCTCAAACTCAGACATTCAGTCTTTCACATTTATGTATATAACAACGTATTACCTTTGATGAAACTCCAGCGTAGTTCCGAGTGAGAATGGGTCCCCAGCAACTGATACTTAAACTATTGTTAGAGGCGGTACACTAGAACGTAAGCTTTAAACAAAAGTTTGTCTCATATATCCAAGTTTTATAAACCTTTTCAAAGATGTGGAAGTCGGGCTCGGGCGTGGTTAATCAATGGTCTGGTTACGATGCAGGAATACAACAGAGTGGGACATTAGATACCAAACAAACGTGGTGTAAATTCTTACTTTACTGTCAATGTTCAAGGCCCGTGCAATTGATCTACTCATGGAGAAGCACAGGTAGAGCAATTGTACATCAGGACTTGGCTCGTCGGATTTCGTCTTTGCAAACGCCATTGTTTCCGAACCAGCATTGGCTAGATAACCTTTAACAGAAAGCATGGACTATCACCAAACGGAGGTTTACATGTGGTTTCACCCTAGGCAAGTGAGTTTGTTCAGAATTGACTCTGTTCACCCAGCAGATAATGGGAACCCGGCGAGATAAGTCATGTGACTATTAACCTTCTAGCGCCTCACAGACAGCTTGGGTTATCCTGGGTAATAATAATCAGAATGTGCGCTTTGAGCAGGATATGAAGCCTGGAAAGGCCCGTTATAAATATGCTTCCTATTATTATATATTTAAGGAAAAATGTTGCTATTTTTTCTCATGAAATTATCTTTGCTGACACTGCCCCAATACTACTAATTCAAACTTTATGTTTGTCATATATCCATGAGTTCGTGCATGTATGTCAAACAGATTATCATATTGGACGCTGATAACTGACACTGTATCTTTACAGCAATATTTTGTAAATGCTAATGACCTTAAGTTTCGTTTTGTTGAAGTTCTTCAATTAGTAACCTCAGTATATGTGGCCCTGATTTGTGTGATATGTGGACAAATGAGGCACGAGTGTTCTAGGGGAGTGGTGCCGATTGAAAAAAATCATTTTTCAATAATGTAGATCGTTAACTCAGTGCAGCCTTGAAATGAAAGCACTGGTCGCATTATTAGTGACGCATTAGCAGTGTATGAAATAAGCCAAAAACCCAGCCAGACACCAGGGCTGGTAACTTCAAAATGTTACCAGCCCAAAATGGATTTAACCAGACCAGACACCAAGATATGTATGGAACATATAAAAGTTTTACCAGATCATCGGGCTGGCTAGCTGTAAATCTAGACCGTGCGTCAGAAATCTAGCCCGTCTCGGGCGGTCGGGCGGGCCTTATTTCATACACTGCCATCAGTGACATTAATTGTTAAGGCAGGTTCCACTTGAACATATTTGCTTGGCTCACAAAACATAGGATGGACTGAAGCTTAAATTGCCCCTATTATCGCCCCTTTTGGCATCATTCAAGCCATATCGCGGCTGGGGATACCGGACACGGGCGTCATATATTGTACCCAAGAGAGGAATCGAACCTGAGTCTTCGGCATCACAACCGAACGTTTGAACCACAAGGCTACCACCTAACAGCGGAAGAGTTCATATAATGGAGCACAGTTATTCACTGACCTGATCGCAGTGTCATATATTCGACCATTGCCCCAAGTGATTCAATTTTCCTTTCTGTAAGAGATATTGGAGTCTTGATTGTCGATTCCATCGGTAGATTCATGTGATCCTCTAGCCTTTCACCCACCGGTAGATTAGCGTGGACCGGTATCTACAATTACAGTGAAAACAAACTCCCAGATTAGATATGTAATAACAACAGTATTTGCAAAACCTTGAGAGAAAGTAGTAAAATTACCCAATGCAATCGATCAATCAGAAAACGTTATGGCAACGAAGACAACACAATACTCTCAATGGAAATATGCTGCAAGCTCTCCAACGTGAAAACTGTCTTACGTATCATGTCATGCCTCTGCCAGTGTCGTGGACGTTTACTCCAGTTCAAATTGAAGTACATAGTTGGTATTAAAGATCTTGGAGTGTTCATAGACCAGGACCTATCACTTGATGCTCAGATCAACCATCTTTCAAGAATCTGCTTCTTCCACCTGAGAGCTATCAGTAACATTCGTCATTATTTAACAACAGATGCAGCCCATACTCTCGCAGTCAGGTCCCTCGTTCTATCTAGACTGGACTATTCAAACAGCATTCTGTTTGGACTCAGCTCTGCACACTTGACAAAACTCCAGAAAATCCAAAACGTTGCAGCCAGCATTGTATCCCTAACATCTATAAGATCTCACATAACTCCTGTCCTAAAGTCTCTTCACTGGTTGCCCATCCAAGCCAGAATCGAATTCAAGATCTTGACCATTGTGTTCCAATGTCTACATGACACCACGACAGCTGAGATCACACCAACAGTTCCTCCTAACAACACCCCCGGTCAATCTCAAGAACTATGGTCACAGATCATTCAGCTATGCTGCTCCTTCACTGTGGAACAGTCTTCCCATAACCAGCAAAACAGCAAAATCTCTTGACTTATTCAAATCTTCATTGAAGACCCATCTTTTCAGGAAATATTACGAATGACTTGTTCAATTGCTGCAGTTTTTTAGCTGTACACACGGGGCGCCATGAGCATACACTAGTGTGTGGAAACGGCGCCATACAAGTGGACATTATTATATTATTATTATTATTAGACATAAAACATTCCAATAAAATATATTAACCGGTACTTTTAAAACCTAAAATATGATTCGATTTTACCAAAATTTAATAGGTGTTTCTTCTTAATTACACTTACACGACCCGCTCGAAAGTAAAAATCTGTCCAATGTCAGTCGAACCATTTTTCTGACAGTATTCTGTTATACACGTGGGTCCTCATGACTGCAAGTGGAATTACCGAGCTGTGAAGATATTCTGAGTGAAAGTCCTTCACTGACAATAGGAACAAAATACCATTGAGCCATTCGACATCATGGCACCTATAGTATTCGTATTCTCACCTTCATCTCCTCCAAATGTTTCTTCGGTCCTATCCCAGACAACATCAGCAACTGTGGCGACCCAACCACGCCAGCTGACAGGATTACCTCCCTTGATGCGCGCACTCGGTACAGACGGCCATCTTTGACGTACTCAACACCAACCGCTTTCTTCTGGTATATCATTACCTGAATATATAACAGTTTGGAAGGTGATTTGTGTTAGGACGAGTCACGGATGGCACAGTTGTCTAAAACACTGCAATGAGGAAATTATTCTCTTTGGCGTATCAGATACCTAATCATTTTCCGACAGAGGGTTCAAATTCCTGATTTGAACTGAAAATAGTCTATGATTCTTATCCTGTTATCACGGCTTTGTACCGTGTCGATTCGGATTTTCACGCCTATCAAATTGACATGCCGGGATAAAAATGAAATATTACTAGTATTTAAGCGTACCTTTGGTTGAGGTAATGTGAACGATGCAACATCTTCAATCTCAAGGTGTAAAGATGTGAACATACCTTTGTGACGTGACTGTTGGCCAGGACATGCAGGTTGGGTCTGTCTATGACTGGCCACAGGAACGCCTTGGATGTACTGACACGTTCTCCGTTCTTGATTGTTGCCTGCACTCTGCTAAATCCTTGAAACGGTTGATTAATATAATAGAATTATCATCATAAGGCTGTGGAAACAGCACAACATTTTCAGTTAGAGTGGTGTTTTAACGTCTTGCGATGATGGGGTATGGTTTGGATGTGTAACCATGGTAACGATTGTATTGTTGTTTTAGTGACAGTTGCAGTAAATCCATTCGATGACGCTTTTCTAACATATAACATACTTGTGTGGGTCGCGAACAGATCAAACTGTACTCACGGAATGAGATTCATCATTGTATTACAGGAAAGAATATGATTGCAAAGGACGCATTGTATAAGAAAGCATTCCAACGGAGGGCCAATAGCTAACATGCTACCTTCTTGACTTTCTCCATTACTGTCTGTCTCATTGTAGCCAATCTCAACTCCCGCCTTGATGATGTGGTCAGAGAGGGGTATTGAGGAGACCCCAGTCACAGTCAGCGGACCTTCATGGCCGTGGTAGTCTGACAGAAAAACAGAGAAGATCATCTTTATGTATATTGAACCGAATTACGTCACTGTAATGCTACAGTGGCGTAGAGATGTGTACACTATTTCATACAGATTTCTAAATGAAATATTTTAGTAGTCTAAGGGAGACAACTCCCAATTTTATCGTCGCGTATGTTCTAATTACCTCCCTTGGGGGAATAAGGGTTACGGGCATTGAATAAATGGCGTCAAAAGAAGAATCGTCTGTCAAGTTGTTCATTCAAGTGATCGTCACATCGATAACCCTTTATTGGGTAGGTGGCAGCCACGCCACACTACAGTGTATGCCAATACGAGTATGCAGTATTGTTTATCCATGTTGATATGAACTTCTGAACACGATGATAGACATATACAGACAAACTTTATGGATAAATAACTTCTTTATTCGGTAGATGCGACGTTTCGATACAGATTCTTGTATCGTTGTCACGCAAATAACGATACAAGCGTCGTACTTGCTTGACAACGATACAAGAATCTGTATCGGAACGTCGCATCTACCGAATAAAGAAGTTGTTTACCCATAAAGTTTGTCTGTATATTACTCTCCAACTTGTAAATCAATGCCACTCAAAGAAGATGATGGATGTTTTCAGTCATGACAAGTTAGTTTTGTGTCATTTGAGGGATGAGGAACAAAAACATTACATCAAACTTGACATTTTTGTTCAGATCCTTTACTAACGTATGACGAGTCAGGTAGACGTTGCTACCGTTATGGGCGTCCAACATATATGATGTTGCTCTTTCACAAACCAGCACAAACTTGAATAATGACCTTTGGGGAACTTATACGGTACCTGCCATTTCTGATATCTTAGGCCATTTACATATCATATGCTCAACTATCAAGAGAACATTTATGTTTATGAAAATGAACCCGTCTCAGAAGGGCTGACATGTTCCAAACTACAGGTTTTCGTCAATGGAGATTTCGTCAGTTCGAAGTATTGAAGTCGGGTAAAATACCATAGGCTACATTATTGAGAATGTTGAAATTGAAGGTTAACACACGCCAAGAAATAATGTTTTCTCGTATATTTTGATTCATTGATATACCCAATAATGACTCTATTCATGTTGCCTTTTCGAATGTTATGTGTTACCAGGAATTGTAAATATTTCTGACTAACCGACCACTTTCCACTATCTTAAGCCTGCTGTGGGTCACACTGATAACGAGCATCTTACATAATCGGGGACCAGTATCTTGTATTGTGCTGGTCAGATACTAGGGTTAAGATAACAGATCCACTACCTTCAGGTTTAAGAGGAACGTGTCATACTTGGGTGTGTTTCTCATGTACCACTCTTCACAATAGATAACTGACATTCTTTACCAAGCTATTTTGAATATGTATTATGACTATCTTGTGTGACTGCCCACACTAGTAATGTATTAGTTGGAGTGTGTCGGGTGTGCTGTATTCAAACAACTAGTATATTACGTTATGTGCCTTTATAATCGTGATTGATATTATATGTATCTTTGATAACAAATCTATATCATGTAATATATACTTTTATAATTGATTGGAAACATTTCTGTTTTTTCTCTGAACTGCAGGCCGTAGGCCCATTGTACAGTATTTACAAGGGTTACAGGAGTGAGTGGTGAACTCCCTTTATAACAAGGCATGGTGGACAACGCAAGGTATTCACATTCACATGATATTCATCTTCAGCAACATTACCACTACAGTATATACATATATTTTCAACTGCACGAAATTTCCTTTGTAAAACATAAAATCATAATAACAACAATGGAACTGGGCTAATGATGTTCTCACTGACTTAATGTTCAAACAAAAGATGTACTTTTCACAAATATATTGTTTTTGAATAAGAAATATGTGTACGAACACGTTGTAAACATACTCTAATCATTGCTTGTAATATTTCTGTTGCTGGCTGATTATATATAAATTCATTCAATAGATGTATGATATTAAATAAACTCATCGTCTATATTCTCAGAGCTTGTGTTGTGTGTGGGTTGGTTGTACATTTGTACCTCGGTCATATGCTAAGTATCCATCACAATTCGATGTATCTCCCGAACACTTACTTCTTGTTATATGGGTTAAGTCGAGGGAAGATAGTACCTGATTTTGTCAAGTTGGGTATTTGAATGTCCTCTGACTTCTTGAAATATGGAAGAACATCTTTATAGCTCCATCCTTCACAGCCGGTGGCTGCCCAACCGTCGTAGTCATGGCGGTTACCTCTGACATACACCATGTAGTTCAACTGGCTGGTTCCCCCAAGGACTCGACCACGGGGCCAAATGGCCCTCTGACACAAGAAAACAGAAACGGTATAATTGGGGCATGGTGATAACCTTTTGTAATTGACGTTTCTATACTAAGCAGCAAAAGAATCGTCAGTTTGGAATTTTCCTTCGCAGAAACGGATAACTGTAAACTCATCTAATGTTTTGATTGTATATTTTTCACAACATCTCCAACTTTACCTGAGCAAAGACATCCCTTCCCAAACTCAGAATGGAACCCAGGAAATGGTCTCAAAAACGCAACCTGATCTCGGAGATGGTACAGTGTTGTCCATGTTTCTCATGCAACTCATGCTGTACGTGCCGTTCACAAGGACCAGCCCTATAAGATGCACCCCCAAACCTGGCTGTAACATTCACATTACAATGTCAGCAGGATGCCGCGACTCATTACAGCTCAGAGGAACCAGGCGCTAGGAAGACTTGAAGCTGGGCACACTGCACAAGCCGATGCCAATCATTCCAGGTCAACGTTCGGACCATCTACAGGCTGCAGAAACGTTTCCGGGCCACCAACACCACAAATGATCGCCCCCGTACTGGCAGACCAAGGGTGACCACAAGACGACAAGACCGCCATGTTGTGCGACAGCATGTACAGAATCCCTTCATGCAGGCATCCGAAACAGCACGCCAGACAGTGGGAACACACGGACGACCAATGAGTACTGATACAGTACGCCGACGTCTTAACAGCGGGAACCTCCATTGCCGTAGACCTGACCGTGGACCTATCCTCAATGGAGAACTGTTCTGTTCACAGATGAGAGTCGGTACTGCGTATCAACTGCAGATGGCAGAACAAGAATATGGCGACGACGTGGCCAGCGTTACTCAGACCAATGTGTTATGGAAAGAGACTCATGGGGAGGTGCAGGCATCATGGTATGCTGTGGAATAGGCCTGAACCAGAGAGTGGGTCCTGTGGTTTTCCAGAACCTTGGTCCAGGGAGAGGAGGCGGCATCACAGCGGTGCGCTACATCGATCAAGCTCTCAGACCCCACGTCATACCACATTTCGCACGTCAACGGAACAACATTTTCCAGCATGATAACGCCCAGGCCCATACTGCCAGAGCTACACGGGACTTCCTACAGCAGAACGGTGTCAACATTATGCAGTGGCCAGCCCTTAGTTCTGATTTAAACCCAATTGAACATCTTTGGGATGAAACTCAGAGGAGACTGAATAATGTCATACCAAGGCCGAACACAGACGATTTATTGCGCCAGGCCTTTCTCAGAGTGTGGTTCAAGGTGCCAATGGCCTTCATCAATCGATTGGTGCACTCCATGCATAGACGCTGTGCTGCAGTTATTGCCGCTCGTGGTGGTCACACTAGATACTGAAGTCAAGAGTCTGAATGGACTGCAAACGTTCACGTCATGTCTTGAAATTGTGCTGAGTTATTCATTGGTGTGTCAAGATATTGTACACAAAAAATGTTTTTGATCCGCTTATTATGTCCATTTCTGTAATGATTTGATTACAGTGCCTATCTAATTTTGAATTCGTACTGACGTTTTTTTTGCTGCTTAGTACATATATATTTATTGTTTTGTCATGTCTGCTGTTAAGGGAATCGCTCAGCTGCACGATGGCGGCCTGTCAAATATAGAGTCTGGACCGTGGCATACACTATATATGATGACATGTGTTAAACAAAACACAATCTATGTAATCTATGTGTGTTAACTCTTTAAAGACATTATAGCTACCTGTTCTGTTAGTCCCATCAAAGCGTGTTCCTGAGGCTCAGTCCTATATGCCCAGTCGAATATCCCCTGCTGGTTTAGTGGCGCCAATAAAGGGACATCCATCGTCTTCTGGTTCCGGTCATCGCCACCAGCTTCGATCAGCAGGACAGTCACGTGACCATCTTCGGACAGACGGGACGCAAGAACAGACCCAGCAGATCCTGCCCCAACTGTGTGTATAAATATTGCGGTTATCACAACTGTATGTTTCCTAATCGATCAAGGATTTCAAGGATCTAATCGATCACCGTCTTTGGATACTTTTAATTATCAACATATAAACAACCCTAATGCTAGAAAGCAGGTGATTGAGATGATTGGGGATCTTGACCTTGTAGATTTTTGGAGAGACCATAACCCAGAAGTACACAGCTATACATGGAGGCGTCCTAATCCTATTAGACAAGCAAGGCTAGATTTTTTCCTGGTGTCTCAGAATTTATATTCATTTATTTGTCAGTCCTCTATAAATGTTGGATACAGAACAGACCATTCGCTTATTGACATTAAAATGAAATTCTCTGAAAATGATGATCATAAAAGTACATATTGGAAATTCAACAATTCACTATTAAGGGATTCTAAATATGTTTTATCTGTTAAAGAAACTATTAGTAATGTTGTCAGACAATATGCTCCTTCATTGGATCATGATATCGATATTGGTGAGGTCAACTTGGGTGAAATCGATTTTTCTGTTAATGATCAGTTGTTTTTGGAAACTCTTCTAATGGAAATCAGGGGTAAGTCTATTTCATATTCTTCATTTTTGAAAAAAACTTAATCCAAAAAAGAACAAGATTTATTAGATGACATAAAACGTTTAGAAACCAACTTATCAGATTGTAAGGAACTGGAGGAAAAAATGACAGAATTAGAGGAGATTCGCAAAGCTAAGATGGAGGGCATTATTATTCGCTCAAGAGCTAAGGGGAGAGGGTTAGTCGTTATTTTTGCAATCTAGAAAACAGGAATTTTGTAAATAAGGGTATGTCTCAGTTGGAACTGGAAGATGGGTCTATTCTAGAGAGTACAAGCGATATAATCCTTGAAGCAAAGTCTTTTTATGAACGTTTGTACTCTTCCAAGGAGCATGTCTTGAAAGATTGTAACCTTGATAAAAAAAATTCAGAGGAAGATTTGTGTAGGCTCTATAAAGAAGAATCGAACTCATTAGAAGGTCCAATAACTTATGATGAACTTCTAAAATGTCTGAAGAAGGCCAAGAATAATAAAAGTCCAGGTTCGGATGGGTTCACGTATGAGTTTTCTAAAAAAAATTGGAAAGATTTATCCCCTTTCTTGTTAAGGTCTTTTAATTATAGCTTTGCTAATGGTTACCTGCCAGTCACTCAGAGACAAGGCATCATTACCTGTATTCCAAAAGGAGATAAGCCCAAGCGTTTTTTGAAAAACTGGAGACCCATTACACTTCTCAATACTGCATATAAACTTCTTTCATCTGTTATTGCTGAGAGGTTCAAGCGCGTTCTCTCAAAATTGATCAGCCCTGACCAAACAGGATTCAGGTCTAACAGATATATTGGTGATAACATAAGATTGATATATGATTTGATGAATTACACAGAATCTAATGATATTCCTGGAATGTTATTTTTAATAGATTTTGAAAAAGCATTTGATTCTGTCTCCTGGTCATTTATTAATAAGACATTATCATTTTTTGGATTTAGAGAGGACATTATCAAGTGGTTCAATATTCTTTATAATGATGCCAGATCTTGTTTGATTATTAATGGTACATTGTCTCCTTGGTTTGATATTGAACGAGGCTGTAGACAAGGCGATCCTCTTTCCCCGTATATCTTCATCCTCTGTGTCGAGATCCTGGCTGGTCTTATAAGAAAGAATAATGATATTAAAGGAATTACAGTTAATGAGGAGGAGTATCTGTTGACGCAATATGCAGATGATACAGAGTTTATTCTGGATGGTTCTCAGAAATCTTTTGAAGCTACAGTTGACACTTTAAACTTCTTTGCTGATATCTCAGGTCTTAAGATTAACTATGATAAGTCTCAGGTAATATGGATAGAGGCAAGAAAGAACAGTTCAATCAGATACTTACCTTGTTTGAACGTACAATGGAATCCAGAATATTTTAAGCTCCTGGGTGTAATATTTTCAACAGATTTAAATGTTATGGATCGAAAGAATTTTGAAAATAAATTATTTGAGATTCAGTTAATTATCAACAGTTGGATGAAAAGAATAATTACACCACTTGGTAGAATTGCTATTATAAAATCATTACTGATTTCAAAATTGAATTATCTCTTTCTTACCCTCCCAAACCCCCCAGGAAACTTCCTGCATGAATTAAATAAAGTACTATTTAAATTTCTCTGGAGTGGTAAACCTGATAAGATCAAAAGAGTGGTGGCTTGTAAGCCTGTTAAAGAGGGTGGACTTGGTATGGTTGAAGCTTTTTCTTATGTTAGTTCTTTAAAATTGTCTTGGATGAGAAAGTGTTTGTGCTATGCTTCCTCCCCCAAAATGGAAAATTTAGCTGTATTTGGTAATTCTTTTCCAGGTACACTCTCCAAAGATATTAAGAATGAATTTTGGCTTTGTATTTCTGCTTTTAACAAGTTTGCTCATAAGATTCAACCATGTTCATTTGATGAATTCATCACAGAACCAATCTATTATAACAAGCACTTAAAATTGGTAAAGACGTTATTTTTGTTCTGCTTGGTTTGAGAGAGGTGTTAGTCAGATTCGTGATTTTACCAATTTTAGACGGAACATATCGTACTCTGGAGGAATTTCAGAACACTTTTGAACTTGACATAAATTTTCTCCATTATAATGGTCTTATCATGGCTATTAAAACTTATCAAACTAAGTTAAAGATAATGAAACCTACTTCTTTGAGAGCAGTTAGATGGTAATACAGTTAATCGAAAATTGATGTCTGTTAAGAAGGGAGCCAAGTGTTATTACTATGTTTTGACTGCATCTGATGTAAACTTAAAATTCATGAATGAGTGGGAGGATTGTATGCTTGCTGAACTTGAATGGGAAAAAAATATTTTAAAACCTTTAAAGACTAAAAAAGGGATACTAAACTTCAATGGTTTCAGTTCAGGATTATACATGGCATTCTCGCAACCAATTCATTTCTATTTAAGATCAACTTAGCTGAAAGCAACTTATGTACCTTTTGTCAATGTGAGGTTGAAACAATCTCCCACTTGTTTTGGTATTGTGAACATGTGCAAACTTTTTGAAATGTTTTATTGAATTATTGAATGATAAATGTCAACATGTTCACAACATGAAATTGGACCTGCAACTTATTGTGTTTGGAATGAGAACAAATGTATATACTGATGATGTGTTTGATTTAATATTGTTGCTAGCTAAATTCTTCATATATAAATGTAAGGTATTAAAAAAACTACTCTTAGTTTTAAACATTTTAGACATTATTTACAAGATAGGTATTTTATTGAAAAAAATATATCCTTCAGTAAAAGTGAACAAGATAAGTTTTATAAAAAGTGGATGTTATATCATGATTTTGCAAATTTTAAATGATTTTCTGAATTCTTTCTTCTTTTCCCTAATGAAAAATATAGGCTGAATGGACTTGAACTTAAACTTAATGTAAATATTTGAAGCTTGTAAGTGTGATTTGTGAGTGAATGTGTTGTGGTGTCTGGTGTTGTTGTTTTGTGCTTTGTTAGAAAAAAATCCTGTTTTTCCTGTGATCAATTAACCTTCTTGCAAAGGACCTTAGAGTTCCCTAGCTCTTCGGCCCTATCTGTAAATAGGGGAAGCAAGAAATAAAAAATATAAATTATAAAAAAAAAAACTGTATGTTTCAGTGTGTACTTGTAATAGTTTTTCCAACTAGAAATCTTCGTTTCAAAATACATTACAGGTGTAATGTGTAGGCGGTGAGCGTACGAACAACCATTTATTGAATGAACCAACGAACGAACGAATGAATGTACAGATCCAATTTAGTCTCCCCGAATGACAAACAATAGAGAGTTGGGCATTTTGAAAAATACGGATAGCCACATGGTTGAACAAGGAACAATATAGGTTGGCATTACAAAGACAGTGTTGTGTGGACACAATATTAAATTGCGTTAGATAAATATGAATGGACACAATTTGCGAAAAGATAATTATCCAATTACTTTTTCTTTTTTAAATGTTTTTTGTTGTTGTTTTGGGGGGCTTTTGGAGTGTTTTTTTTATTGGTTCCCAAGATTACAATACTGCAGATATACCAAGCCGTGATACGTACGGCTTAAAGTAATATGGCTACATGATGTACAGGTGAGATATTTTTGTATTAATATATTTATAAACATGCATAATTCATTAAATGGATAATGTACAGATGTACAAGTGAGATATTTTTGTATTAATATATTTATAAACATGCATAATTCATTAAATAGATAATGTACATATAATGTAATCCAATTACTTAGTAAGTGCCATCAAGTAGGGTATGTCCTCTCTGGCGGAGGTATTATACTTGTTTCTATTACCTATGATATAGTCATACGTGGCGTTCAGTTCGGGGGACAGAATCTGTGAGTCAGGATCGGGGTGAACGGAGAGATGGATCCCAATAGCGATGACAACGACCAGAACAATGTTCACTATTGCAGAGAATGAGGCCATTGTTTGCACTGCTGAAAAGACACAGAATGTACCACAAGGTTTCATTTTTTGTACATATTTTTATATTTTGCCTCACATCAAACATACAGTTTTATGTGTTAATGAAGCAGTGTGTGACCAAATGCTGTAACAACAAATATAAATTAGTTCTCTCAAAGTTAGACCCGTGGAGATCCTGGTTAGAATTGATCTTCAGTAACCCATGCTTGTCGTAAGAGGCGACTAACGGGATCGGGTGGTCAGGCTCGCTGACTGGGTTGACACATGTCATCGTATCCCATTTGCGCAGATTGATGTTCATGCTGTTGATCCCTGGATTGTCTGGTCCCGATCCGAATATTTACAGGCCGCCGCCGTATAGCTGGAATATTGCTGAGTGCAGCGTAAAACTAAACTCACTCACTCACTCACTCTCTGAGAGTTATGTCATATATGCCGCCAGTTACTATAGTAGTTGTCAATTCACAAACACACGTATATCGTAGCCACTAAACAGTAATCGTGACGCCATGTTACTTTTAACATGGACTAGACTATATTTGTAAACGTATGATGTCATCGATCCTGTTGGAGGAGTGAAGAGCACATTCTCTTGGTGTCTTTTTTTTAACTGAATCAAGTTACATTGTTGAACATTTCTTAGAAATATCAAGTTTTACTGTTGAATCAAGACACGATGACAAATAATTGATAAACAACCTTCACACAATACAATAACTGTTTACGCATGTACAAACCCTTGCACAAGCTCAAATGCCCTATCTGCTACTCTGAACGCAAAGCAGTATGGCCAGCCCCGCAGTGTCAGGGTGTTCAGCGGAGCGATGAATATACAACGAAACAAAAACAGACAGCCTTAAAAAACGTTTTTCGTTATACACAGTGTTTATACTGACCACTAAACCTAACGGACACTCACAAATATCATCACAGTGAGTCTGAAGCCATACAAACATTGCCATTTTTGTATTGTCTTTAGCAGTAATATGATTGTAATTGATATCATGTCACTGTGTCAAGGTCAAATGTGTAAACATATGGCCACTTACCTGCAATGTCCACTTTACACTTGACAACGATGTTTGGAAAAGCCCGTACGTTATCGTGTCGACATTGGAAGCGACGTATACAGATATTATTGAGGGTATTTCGGAGGCAATCGATTATAAAGGCAGTGATGAGTCGGGGAGGACCCTGTGTATCTGCAAGCAATCAGTTTACTTGTACGGTCTGTTGACTGGCAACTTGATATTGCCCTTGATACATCTCAGTGAGTGCCAGTCAAGTCACGCTTCGGTTACCTGTAGGGAAGCGATAAAGGTAATACAGCGTTCGTCTTTGTGTTTGTTCGCAGAGCTGTATGATATACTTGTGAACAGAGAGACGTCATCGTAAAAAGCAAAGTCTTTCACCTAGTGTATCGCGATATGTGGCATGTGCAGTAGTTGCACTGTCGGTTGAGGATATACGGCACTAATGATCGCATCCCAATTACAGGCTACATACATACCTTGCATCATTATGCTATGTTTTCGTCTACCTTCAGGTTTATGCACCAAGTCTAAATTGCTGCTCAAGACGTTTGTACATCACCAAGTATACATTATTGTTCAATGTGTATATTCATTCGACCATATGTATCTATCTATACCTAGGAATCCTTGCAAACGATTACATGAAATGTATCACCATAAGACGCTCACGCCACTTTAGTCTGTGTTGCCATGTAGTCTCGGCCTCGTGGCCTCATATACGAATAAAGTCTGTCTGTATGTTCAACTTGGCTTCTTTTTTAGAATCGAAAAGGACTGCACATTAGCTGACAATTTCAAAACGTCAACGACAGAGAGTAATGAGTGTTGATTATGTTCTGAAGAATATTCCCTGATGAGTAAAAGACAGATTATATGAATGAATCACTGTAAATTGGTGATGACACCGGGTGTTCGCTAAACGAAACCGTATGTCCTGATATGTTTTTTCAGTACTGGTAGCACCTCTGAAACTTACACAGTGAACTGTTTATACTGTCCAAACGTTTTTATTTCAAATGGGACTCTCCTATAAAATAGCTATTATTTGGCAAAATAAACCAATGACGAACACACTTGGCGGTCTACAATCTCCCTTATCAAAGTCTTTTGTGTGTCCAGCAAGTGAAGCAGAGGGTAGCGTTGTTTGCTTGGTAAAAATAACCACATCGTCTGTTGGTCATGGTCAAGTAGTTTCTTCATCACTTCAAATATTTCCAGTGAACATGATCCCATGCAAAACAAACGTTTCAATTTATCAACTAATCGCGACACTGATTTGTGGTAATTTTATAAGACATTAACCTGCATTATAATCATTGGGAGGATGAAAAGACCTCAGTAATAACTTCTATATAACACTATCAAATACAGGCGGCAAATGTGAAAACATAAGCATATTCTTCCAATGGCAGTACTGATGAAAGGAAGTAAGGAAAATGTTATATGGTATCTCAATATAAGCTAGAAACGGACACTATAGTGGACAGTGGTTAGTTAGTATTGAGCACACAAGTACATCCTGATATATCTGATAAAAATATCCGAGCTATGAGAACATACAAGGCCACTTACAAGGTACCGTGATATACACAGACCTCTGTATCAATAACAGTAACCAAGGCTGAAGGTCCTATTCAAAAAAGTGTGAAAATATAATCAGTCAAGTATGAAGGACAGACGTCAGACTAAACGCTCCATCGCCGATTGCTGAATGTAGTAGGGTCTGGCGACAACAGTTACTTGAAATCTTCTCCGCTATGCTGAGAGAAGAACAGAGTTTTCTCAGTGATAATTGGACAAATGACCTTGGTCAGTCAGGTTGTAACTGACGCAGCACTAGGGTCAGTGGACAAAGGTAGATACCGGCTTAGGCTTACGTTGGCTGATTCTCTTACGTTATTTGGATGGTTGTCCGAACCTCTGAGCCCTGTACTGGAATTCTGGCTTGTCATGTAAACCTACAACGAAAGTCGTCGTTGTCAAACTTGAAATGGTTCTGTGATGTTCTACGTGGCGCATGAGCGTTGTGTCACATCTGTTTGAAGACTGGTTATTCCTATGCATTGACATTGTACATTATGTATGTTCACCATGTCACCAGATATCTGACACGTGTTACCCTGGTAGCACACCGTTGCTTGTCTGAAGAAACGTCGAGCAACTATCTATGTTCCGTGGCACATTTAACATAAAGAAAAAAACCTTGCTAGCATTTAAATACGTGAAGGTTATTTGTTTACGTATGAGATATCCGTGAAATACTAATCTTCCTCATAACATTTGTGAAACTTCGAGAGGACTCCCGTCGTTGATGTCCACAAAATTCAACGCTTTCGAGATATAATCCGGAATGTTCTCTTTCTGCAAAGATTTTACAGAATGTAACTCAAAATTAATTTGATTAAGGTTATAATTTTCAGGGACTTTGTTAAGCTTTCAAAAATCTGACAATGGTAGTAGCATATAGTTAAGAGAAGAAATAGCAAATGGGAATGATTTAACAAAGTATATGGGTGTTGGACGTTTCAGCTGAGATCCATCAGTAGTCTGAGGCATTACCGACACAGGGTGTTCAGAACAATAAGATGACTGTCGTCATAATTCGCTTGATTATTGCTGATGTGGGGTTAATCAAACACAACTGCCGCGAACAAACAGGTTTTTAGGGGATCAGTGGTTATCAAGAAGGACTGGACGAACTTCTTAACATCGTCTTAGAGCTACAACTGTCTGACTACCAAATGATGGATATTCCAAGTTAGAATTGGTCCTCAGCAAACTATGATGGCTGTTCAGTCAACAAAATAGATTGTTACTGTTGTTTGCGACTTCAACCAAAGCCGGGGAGTCTGGTGGTTCTGATCACCAGATACAGTATCGCCCCTGTTCTGACAAGCATGGGTTGCTGAGATTGGTCCAATTCTAACCCTGATGGTTGATATAAGCTAGACCAACGTTATATGCATCTGGCCAATTCAAAAGGCCCAGATATCTATTTTGTGAATAAAGCACAAGCAGTCCACCCTTTCTCAAGCATACTAAGCATTTATGCATTTTCAAGATTTTAAAACAGAAATAAAAATGTGACCACTTTACAAGGACATACAAATAAAATGGTGATTTTGATTGTTTATTCAGAACATGACAATGAAATACAAGGTGAACCTTCTGCAGATCTGTATGTATGAATAGGTTACCTGACAAAGGAAGAAAATGTTGTGTGTGTCTGATATACTGCAGGCCAATCAGACACTGAATGGCAGAAATATGTTCATGGTCTCTGGGCACTTTATTCCAGGCAGATGACAAGTTTAAAATAATTATTTTTGTAATGCTTAGATGACAACCAAGATATGTTTCATGGTCATTCAAGGTGTATATCAACATTGAATGTGTTTTTGGCCTATGTGATTGATTGATTTTTCCAATAATACAGCCAGTTGTAAGACGGCAGCCAGTTTCCCCACTGTGATTGGCTGGTCTACTGGGCACTTTTGGCAATCTGGTCCTTGAGGATGATGATGCTCTGCCTCTGCTCTGGTGGCAGCATGGAGATTTGCTGGTCGGTCAGCTGCAACACCTGCATGATGAGGGCAGCCTGCAACATAGAAAGTCAGGGGTCACACAACATGACCACTCAAGAGGTCAAACAACATTACGGTTGAGGGGTCACACAACATGTGGAGTCAGCAATCACAAAAACATTAATGGTCAAAGGTCGCACATCATGGAATGTAAGAGGGTCAAATAACAATCCCTACAGCATAACTACACCTGCTTATGGAAAGTAATCAACCTTGGAAATGAAAAAGAACAGTCTTGAGAAGGATTTTACAACTGTCTTCAGACCAGCAGACAAGAAGGAACAGATTCATAAACTGAACAAATTTTTGTAAATACTCTTGTTCTACCACAAGATGAGCTCATAATGCAGTTACTGTTATCATGACTTCCCAGAAGTGATCATAATACTTTAGATAGGGGTAAGATTATGTGAGTTGAGCCTGGTGATCAACTGACCTTCTCCTGGTCCTGTGGGGAGATCTGAGTCCCCGGTCCTCCCAGTCCACCGCCCAGACCGGACATCACACCCGCGGACAGCTGGCCAAGGTTGCCTAGGTTACCCAATGCACCTAATGCACCCAAGGCTGACTGCATCGGTGCCTGCTGAGGAGGAGGAACCATCTAAATATGAAATATTATGTTAGGGTCTGTCAATATGAAACACACAATGTATATCGATATCTTACTGTTGATATATGTAAAACAAGTGTTTGCCACTGATATGGCAATGTCCCCCGCCGCTAAAGAATGGAATATTTATAACACATTTACTACTTTTTTTTTGGTGTGTGTGTGTGTGTGTGTGTGTTTCACATACAAGATGTCTGAAATGACTGGCGTCTGCATAAATACCCAATGTAGGCTGTCCATATAATTGATGACATTGGGTGCAATGTTTATGAGATATCGCGTTAAAGAGAGTTTGAAAAGAGGTCAAAGCGTCGTGGTGACCTTGAAGATAAGGTCAAGGTCGCCCAAATCAACTGGTGTCTGTGTAATCCCCCAATGTAGGCTGCCACCAAACTTGAAGACATTGGGTACAACAGTTCATGAGATATCGCGTTAACAAGAATCGGGACGAACCTACGTACGCACGGAAGCTGCTGAATACATAGTCCCCGCTCTGCGTTGCGGCGGGGACAACACGAAGGACCACGGGTTACGAAGGATATGCAATATCACCTATAGCTAATATTTTAGCAAAGTCAATTTAAAGAATACAAGAGCATGTGCAATTCACACCCTGTAACCATGTTCAGAATCATGATTTATGTGCACCCCCTTCTCCGAAATCCTGGATCCGTCCGTGTATTGTGTGACAAGGTATTGATTTAACAGCTGGCTCCTTCGCCACTGCTCATCAACACAGGGCACAATGTGCCATGTTTCTCTAACCTGTGGTCTCATGGACACTCCTTGTCCTCCATGTCCCCCCTGCATGCCTGGTCCTGCTTGGTGCTGCGGCATGCTTCGTGGATCCCCCCCCATCATCCTCTGGTCACGGAACTCTGATCTCTGGGGCTGACCAGGGTAGGGTCCACCCATGTCACGATGACCTCCTGGCATTGGACCACCCATTGGACCACCCATACCTGCACAATGAAATCCTTATGATTGAAGCTCATGCAAAGGTGTAAAATGCAATAAACAGAAAGTCATTTTGCCTGTAGCTCCCTCAAGGCGACTGACCTTCCATGGAGAAAATACATTTCCCTCACAAATTTTAACACAGCTTCATGCAGATTTTTAAACTTACACACAAAACAATTAATGGACTATAAATCATCCCATACCTTACCTTCAATGACAAAGACACATTCTATGTAAAGCACATATTTTTTTTGTCATCTACATTAAGTTGAAATATTTGACTGACCTGGCATAGGTCCTCTGGAAGCACCACCCATCATGTCCCCTGATGGACCACCCATGCCACGTGACCCCCCAGGGCCCTGTCCTGGAGCAGGACCTCGGCCACCTGGAGACGAATATGTACACTGAAGGCTCGATGACAAAATGCTACACAGACAAACACTGAGTGAGGAACAAGGATGGGTACAGTCACCAAAGTTATTAATAAACTACACACAGAGGTGACTTGGGGATTTCAGCTTCTCTATACTTTCTGTGTAGAAGGTGGTGTTTTCACACCATGGAAGACTGTACATTTTGTTTGACTTTCGGGTAAGAATTAGAGTGGGAGAGTGTAGTGCCATAAAATTTCCGAGTCCCGTGCTGGCATTCGAACCATGGACCTTCTAATCCGAAGTCGGACGCCTTGTCCACATGAGCAAAGAGGTTAACCCCGTCAGCAAGCTGCCAAGGTAAGGATGTCATCTGTGGGATGACTCTACGCCCTGCTACATGAGTATGGTTTTAAGCAACTTTTTGCAATATTCCAGCAATAGCACGGCAGGGGTGGGGTGGGGGTGGGGCACCAGAAATGGGCTTCACACATTGTACCCATGTGGGGAATCGAACCCGGGTCTTCGGTGACAAGCCAGCTAAGGATTTGAAATACTGATGCAATATCCCGACAGACAGCACAAAAAATAGGCTTCACTCATTGTTTGTGCGGACTAGAGCCTAGGACTGGGCGTGATGTGCAAATGCTTTAAACACTAGGCCAGCCCACCTCCACCATAAGCTTTGTAGAGGACTTTGTACAGGAATGGTTTTCTTGGCATTCTAAACAGGACCAATTTTGTTTCCATTTGCACACTGTAGGAGGAAGAGAACAAAGCATACCTTGGGAAGGTCCCATCTGGTTGGGAGCTGATGAGGAAGGCTGAAATCAAAACACAAAAGAAAATTTACATTTGTTGACCAATGAGTAATACGTCCTTATTTAACAATATCACAAATAAAAAATGACCAAACATAACAAACCAATTTCTAATCTTCATGATTATGTGTATAATGCTCTGTTGGGTTTAACAGCAAACATATGGGCATACACACTACAGGGGATGTACAGGTAATACAAATTGTGCTCGGGATGGAAACCAACATCATAAGAGCAAAAGGTGATACATGTCAGATATGAGTGCCACATTCGGGCACCAAACAAGCATGGGTGCTAAGAAAGAATTCGATTTATTCTTTTTTCATATGTTTTTTATTATGTTTATTGCTGTACTCCAGCTATATGACAGTGTCCTAAAAATTATCAGTTCTGGACATTATAAGTCACTGATTCATATAAGGCCCCCCCCAAAAAAATGTTGTGGTTCCGATTTCCTACATTTCAGAACTAGGGTAGGTAGGTAGGTTTTTGGTTTTTTTGCAAAATATTTTTACATTACAGATGATGATTACTCATGTGTCAGAAAATATATTTCATTTATTATGTGGTGAGTAAAATTGTTAGGCTCGCGGGAATATTTAGGGTCGGTCGGGAAATCGGAACCACAAGCTTTTTTTTTTAGGCCTAAGCAACAGTCCAGGTTGTTTAGGTCACATTCAAGTCGGGGGCATGGTGGGCGAGCTGGCTAAGGCGCCAGGCTAGTGATCCAGCGAGCTTGAGGTGCTTGGATCGAGCCCACCTGTGACCGGGTGTAAAAACGCAATAGCCTTGTGGCGGCAAGAGTTGTATGCTGCCCAGGGAGCTGAGATTGATAATAAGATGTGCCGTTGAGATTGACATCCAATGATTGAGGGAAAAAATACCAGCACCTTGAGCATGCACTAGTGCGTAGATATGTGCTCTATATACATATCCAATAATAATAATAAAATAAATAAAATAAGTCAACCAATCCTTCTTTATTCCCTCAATGTACACAGTGAGGCAAGTTATATGTATTATTAGCCTTGTTTAAGTCTGAATATTCCAGAGGAGTGAATCAGCAACAATTAGCGCTCCAGGTTGACACTCTATCAGAAAGACCACTATGGTGATGTTTATCACCTTAATGGCAATTAATAAAGAAAACAACAAGTATCTTTGTTTCACAAGACCAAAATCCCAATAACCACGGACCTTCTACTCTGATCACTCTGCACTGCATGATATTAGACACAGTACCATGGGGCCACATGTGTCCCAAAGTCAGCAGGACACTGATGCAAATAGTCAGCCATCCTGTCATGTCTCACCTGTCCATTGTTAGCGGCGCCGGTACTGGGCGGCACCTGGTTGGCATCTCGGTACAACATGGCCTACAAAACAGGACTAAATCTTCAGAGGGTGTAAAGATGGAATGATATGTTTGGATACAGTTAGTTTGCAGTAACTACAAGCATTATACTTTTGTCTGTTGTTTCACGCTTCACTTAGCAACATTCCAGCAAATCACTGAGGTCTGTAAGTGAGTGACTTTAGTTTTACGCCACACTCAGCAATATTCCAGCTATATGGCGGCAGTCTGTAAATAATCGGATCGGGACCAGACAATCCGGTGATCAACAGCATGAACATCGATCTACGCAATTGGGATACGATGACATGTGTCAACCAAGTCAGCAAGTCTGACCACTCGATCCTGTTTCTTGCCTTTTACGACAAGCATGGGTTACTGAAGACCAATTCTAAACCAGATCTTCATGGATGGATCTTCATGGGTAGTCTGCCAATGGCCAGTCTTGAACATCAATCTACACAACTGTGATATGACATGCATAAACCAAGTCAGCAAGTCTGACCACCAGATCCCATCAGTGGCCTCTTATGACAAGTGTAGGGCGCTGAACATCAGTTAATAACCATGAGAACAGGAGTAAATTAATCTCATATTCATGTTGTTTGTTGTTTAAAGCCAGCATTAATTCAATATATCACAGCAGTCAAGTTGTACCAGTCAATCAAATGATTATTATGAGCAATAGACTCTGTTGGCTTACACAGACATGCTATCAACCACATCATCGAATCAGATTAATGTAAACTAACATCATACTGACCAGTCATGAATAACATGACATGCTGTCTTGTAATACCATTTATTAAACACAAAATGCCAGTAGTTACACACAGAGATAACATCAATGAGGAGGAAATCATTACATCTATAAGTTAGGTTAAAGGAACATCTAACCAGGCTGATTGTGCTTTTTGGTCTTAGTCGGACATTTTGTCTGCCCGCGGGGAACATACAGAGCGAGACTGACGCTAGCGACCTCTGTCGCTGGTGGGTCACGTCACTGGTCACATGAGTATACTCATAATACCATTGAGTTGACTCCCAGCATAATGATCAACACAGGTGGTTCCTACCCTGAATCCCAGCATAATGATCAACACAGGTTGTTCCTACCCTGAATCCCAGCATAATGATCAACACAGGTTGTTCCTACCCTCAACCCCAGCATGATGATCAACACAGGTTGTTCCTACCCTGAATCCCAGCATAATGATCAACACAGGTTGTTCTACCCGGAACCCCAGCATGAACAACACAGGTTGTTCCTACCCTGAATCCCAGCATGATGATCAACACAGGTTGTTCCTACCCTGAATCCCAGCATAATGATCAACACAGGTGGTTCCTACCCTGAATCCCAGCATAATGATCAACACAGGTTGTTCCTACCCTGAATCCCAGCATGATGATCAACACAGGTTGTTCCTACCCTGAACCCCAGCATAATGATCAACACAGGTTGTTCCTACCCTGAATCCCAGCATAATGATCAACACAGGTTGTTCCTACCCTGAACCCCAGCATAATGATCAACACAGGTTGTTCCTACCCTGAATCCCAGCATGATGATCAAGCACAGGTTGTTCCTACCCTGAATCCCAGCATGATGATCAACACAGGTTGTTCCTACCCTGAATCCCAGCATAATGATCAACACAGGTTGTTCCTACCCTGAACCCCAGCATAATGATCAACACAGGTTGTTCCTACCCTGAATCCCAGCATAATGATCAACACAGGTTGTTCCTACCCTGAATCCCAGCATAATGATCATTGTTCCTACCCTGAACCCCAGCATAATGATCAACACAGGTTGTTCCTACCCTGAATCCCAGCATAATGATCAACACAGGTTGTTCCTACCCTGAATCCCAGCATAATGATCAACACAGGTTGTTCCTACCCTGAATCCCAGCATAATGATCAACACAGGTTGTTCCTACCCTGAATCCCAGCATAATGATCAACACAGGTTGTTCCTACCCTGAATCCCAGCATAATGATCAACACAGGTTGTTCCTACCCTGAATCCCAGCATAATGATCAACACAGGTTGTTCCTACCCTGAACCCCAGCATAATGATCAACACAGGTTGTTCCTACCCTGAATCCCAGCATAATGATCAACACAGGTTGTTCCTACCCTGAATCCCAGCATAATGATCAACACAGGTTGTTCCTACCCTGAATCCCAGCATAATGATCAACACAGGTTGTTCGATCCCAGCATAATGATCAACACAGGTTGTTCCTACCCTGAACCCCAGCATAATGATCAACACAGGTTGTTCCTACCCTGAATCCCAGCATAATGATCAACACAGGTTGTTCGATCCCAGCATAATGATCAACACAGGTTGTTCCTACCCTGAATCCCAGAGATTTGAATTAATAAGGATCAATGACATACCAGTGCTACTTGTGGGTCAACTATCTTCATGACAATCTGAGCCTGTAGCAAAGCATAGGCCAACTGAGGGTTCTGTAGAAGCATGTTCCTGGCCTCATTGGGGTTGTTCTGGATACACAACTGGAACAGAACATTACATGAAAACAGGACAAATCTGAGTCACGAGAACATGAAAATACTGTTAGAATTCAGAGCTGAACTAACCACATACTAATTCAAGTTACTACATGTATCAGGAAGATCCGCATCTTACCTTCATTTGTTTCATGAGTTCAAACATCTGTTCTGGTGGAAGACTGGCCACAGCCTTGGATATAGCTTCAGGAGCTTTCTCAGGTTCCACTGGTTCTCCATAGGGACTCTGCAAACAGTTGATAGCATGGTCAGTCCACACTGGTCAGTTTGGGTTGCAGGGCTCCAGATCATTTTTCAACATCAGGAGTACGTACTCCTTATATTTTCAATATAGGAGTACTGGATAAACTTAAGAGTACATTTTGAGTACTGAATGGAATTTAATGGCGTATCAGTAATCTTGTGTTTCGTTTCATATATGCACCACAACATTACTACTCTTGTGTAAACAGGTTAATAAACAATAAACAACACTCTTTTAGATAAATACGTCTGTAAATGATTCCAAGACTGTACAGCAATCCTGTGGTGCGTATGTGCTACGTTTTCTGATTATTTCCTACCTTACCGTGCATATTTTTTATCTGTACATATGCCGATACGGCCCTTATCTGGAGCCCTGGGGTTGCATTAGCTCTCGTACATGAAAAAACACACATTTTGACTTAACTTGACCAGAGATCACAACCAGTGGGAGATCTATCTCTAATTAGTAGACATGTTGTTTTAAGAGTCTGTTGGGCTTCACTTGGCTACCACCTCTACCACAGGTGAGTACAGAGAGATCTGCCGATCTGCATTTACTCTCATCAGACGACCCTACACAGAGATCTGAACTTACTTTTCTCATAGGACCCTACACAGAGATCTGAACTTACCTCTCATTGGACCCTACACAGAGATCTGAACTTACTTTTCTCATAGGACCCTACACAGGTATCTGAAATTACCTCTCTGAGAGGTCCCTACAAAGAGGTCTGAACTTACCTGAGTTAGGACCCTACACAGAGATCTGTTACGTCTTTCATAGGATTCCACACAGATATTTGCACAGAGATCTGTTACGTCTTTCATAGGATTCCACACAGATATTTGCACTTACCTCTATGAGAGGTCCCTACTAAGAAATTCTCAATCAGAGGTCCCCACAGTGTAGCACTTACCTCAATAGGAGGCCCCCCAAGAGCCTGTTGCATCCCTTTCATCTCCTCCTTGTTTTGTTCCCCTGCTGCAACACCAACACGCAGTGGTCGGCCATTGAAGTCATAGTTGTTCAAGTTTCTCATGGCACTCTGAGCTGTCTCCACATCCTGGTACTCACAGAAGCCATAACCCTTCGGTTTCCCTGTCTCCCTGTCATACACCAATCTGGAGGACAACACAACATGCACTCAGTGCACCAATCTAGGCTAAAGTTCAATCACTGAAAATATAGGATTTGGACGGCAATAATTTCCTTTAAATCTGAAGGGAGAATCTGCTTCAGAAAGGGTCAACCTATATAAAATCAGGTGTTAGTGCTTGCTAGTGCAACACTAATTTCTTAAGACACCCCATTACAGGAACTTTCACTAATCAATGATAAGCAAAATGATTACTAATCATTACATATGGCTGGTGTGTGTGTGTGTTGATTTTTATGAATTTTTAATCCCCCCATGTACAAAATTGCTGATCTCTTCCCCCCTCCACCCTAGTACATGTGTACAAAATTGACCACCACCACCAAAAAATAAATTAAATAAAAATAAAAATAAATAAAAAAAGAACAAAATGGGTGACCTCCTCCTTAAAATCATCATCACCACCTCCTCTAGCCATAAATTATGAACGGTCCTTAACAGATAATCAAAATCAGCCAATCAGAAAGCAGCTTTCTCAAATTTTTCCAAATTACACCAGGCTAAACTCTGGAAAATATTTAAACAGACGGTCAAGATACCAACTCCCAACATGCTATGGATCTTGATGAAATCAGGAGTAGGGCCCTAAACTGTCATTCTCAATGCCTTGTGTTTACATTGTCATGGTTGATTGATTAGAAACTACACATGAACATTCCTTTTCACAATCCCATAAGCAATTGTTTGGATGAAAGGTCGCTCTGATGAGACCTTACACAGGACGTCCTGTGATCTTCGTGCAAGGTAGATGCATAACATAAAACAACTGAGGTACTATTTCTTGTGATTTGGGCAAAAACAATGGCAACTTAAGGCAGGGATACAGATAACTTTTGGGGGTGGGTGAGGTGAGGTGAAATTGGGTTTAACGTCGTGCTTGAGAATATTTCGCTCATATGATGACGTGCATGCGTGTGTATGTGTATGTGCGGCTGCTTGTACTAGCCCAGACTTAAGCTGGTTTGATAGATACCATGCCGCAGTGAAGCATGAATACCCCAATCAGACACATTATACTGACTCCGAGCCGACCAGTCCTTGTTGTACCCATTAATGCCGAGCGCCAGGCAGGGACCATATTTTAACGTCTTTTGGTATGACGCGATCGGGGATCGAACCCGCGACCTTCCGCTCTCCGGGCGGACGCTCTAACCACTACACCACAGAGTCGGTCTTTTTGGGGGTGGGGGTGTACTTACACCTCATATTGCAAGTGGAGGTGTACTGAGAATTGTGAAGGAATACTGACATGTTTTTGTGTGAGTGAGTTGGTGATGTGGTTTGTTATTTATAATATTAAACAACTTTTCAGCTATTAAACTTTATATATGTTAGACGTACAAAGGTATTTATGTGTGTACATGATAGGCTTGAAATCGTATATTATGTTGTACTTCGTTGATTTTTAGGAGTACATTACATCTGTACGTCCCTTATCTGTAGCCCTGTTAAGGCCAATCTGGAATGTACACCTACAACCAAAACACTAGAAGCAGTCAGCAGTATAGGTTATTGTCAATATTGTAAAGCTATTAACATGAACAGTTCAGAAATATATCCCTCTCTCATCTGAACATGGAAACATCTGGCCAAAACTTACCAAGTTACCATGGGTTTATCAGGTGAGATGTACCTACATCTATCTACTTTGATGTCAGGGAGACACACTTGTGACACACATACATAAGGTTAATCTGTAATTACAATGTTAAACCACAGGCATAGCAATTCCCACAGCTCAACTTTCTGGAACATAATGGGGCTAATAATATTTAATTTGTGTAATCATGGGACCCTCTATTATTGCAGTAGTTAATGTTGTCGCCATCGGGATTATGAATGGCTGCTGACATTTTATATATATATTTTCAGTTGACTGATTTTTAATCATCATTTCTGTCACAAACAATGTGGCACATAGTCGCAACTCTTTCAATATGATCGCAGCCATCCTGATTGCCCGTTTGACCCAGAAATTGAAGCAACTCTCTATTATCGCGGTATTGTTATTTTCTGTTTGTGACACTGTCAAACATTTACTAAGACAAGTAACGAATCTAAATTGGTTTATTATTAAAAATTATTTAGGAATTTTATTTACATTAGTAATATCATCATGTTTTTAACCAAAACATCTGAAATGTCTATTCATTTGGATACAAGGTAACAATAATATAACAAAATATTGTTTTGCCGCCTTAAAACGTACCATACAATTTGCTGCCGTGTGCAGGGTGAAGTTGCATAATACGTCACTTTCTGTTATATTTTTAGGATGGAAAATATGCAAATGACCTTATAGTTGTCGCAGGATTACTCTTGACGAAGTAAGTTTTGATTCATGCTTGATGCAATGGCAGTAGGGGTCATACTAGTTTCAAAATGTTCCAGAACCTACTGAAAAGATAAATACTTTGACATTTCTACGATTAGACATGACATTCCAATGAAATAAATGACTTTTTGAAGAGTGATGATTTTATATAACGTAATTTGCATACGTAAACAGCCGATGAGGGGCGTGGTGTTTCTGTTTTCATGTGCCGCAAAAATAGACAGCCTGTGATAATACAGAGTTCCAGTATAATTATCAGTTCTGGCGAGAAGAAGAGTCTGTCACAATACTTAACATGAAGTTAAAGCCCTGGTTAATATGTTAATCATGATCAGCATAATAAAACCATACCTGAAACTGACAACGGGTCCTGCCTGGGCAAAGATCTCCTTCAGTTGTTCTTCAGTTGTTTCATATGGAATGTTGCCAACTGAAAGCAATAACAAGCATTGTCACTAAGGTGACGTAATCCCCCGCCACAAATGATCAAATCAAACTTATAAAGTAATGAAAGTTTAAGTTAAATGTCAACAAAAACTGAGGAAATCGCGCAAAACCGCTGAGAAATGGCCAGCCAGTATCCCGGTGTCAGGAGTTTTCGACGATGTAAGACAAAAACGTAATTTTTATCTGTAATATCATTTATAGTTTTTATTTTACTAACCTTGAGTGATAAAGGATATATTCATCTATTTCACACAAAAATATCAAGTGTTTCCTACAAAAATAGCAATGATGACATCGTATCGGCGAAACAGTGGCCGCTCGTAACATCCGGGTATTTTGTATGGGTTTTCGACGATGAGCCATACTTTTTGCTCCGCACTGGGAGGGAGTGTTGTGATCACGGGGCTTCCTATTTATATATTGCCTGTCACCAGCAGACAACTGATCTTACTGAATTTTCGCTTGCTATTTTTTGTTATAAAGGCAACTGATTTTGCATCTAAAGTGGTATTAACGATCTCGGGTAAATAATATTGATGTTTGTTTGCTTTTTATATAACTTTACTTCCCGATTTCCATTGTCAATAAAACTTCTCAGGACAGCGACTGGGCACCCGCCGGGAGTACTGCACTTTACCGGGCGCACTTTTTCAGATTTAATCAGCGCTGCTGGGGCTCGAACACGCTCAGCAGGATTAGGGGGATTCCTGATGGGTGCTAATTACGCTAATTAGCCGACACGGTACCTCGGGACCACGGGTGCGATCACAGCCAGCATGTGCTCGTTTAACGGGTCATTACCACAGTAGCACTGCTAGCACTGCGCATGCGCAATGGTTTGTTTTCATTTCTCGCGCATGCGCAGTGCTCAGTCTCCGCCTACCCATTCATCAACTCGAGAAGCCACACCTAGCTATTGTTATCAAGATGTCGCCCAACCAATCCGGAAAAGCAATGATTTATGACGATGTTTATCGTCTGACTTTCGATTCGTCGGCTCTTGTCGACTGGCTGACTACCCGCGGGGTCATAGGTGACTTCGAAGGAGCCTGCCCCCGTTGTACTAGCAGTCAGCTGACTCGAAAGAAAGACTCAAGCTACGGTCGGGATGGTTTGGTCTGGCGATGCCGGGTCAAGACCTGCGGCCAGAAAGTATCGATCCGGGAGGGGAGCTGGTTTTCCGGCTCTCATCTCACTCTGCCTCAACTGATGAAGCACCTTTACTACTGGGTTTACAAGACGCCTTCTCATGTAATCCAGCGGGAACTGAGGATCGGGTCGTGTCACACCCTGGTAGACTGGAACATGTTTTGCCGGGAAGTGTGCATGACAGTCATCGAGGCGGACAGTTCCAAGATCGGTGGCCCTGGAACCACGGTGGTAATCGACGAATCAAAGTTTGGCAAGAGGAAGTACCACCGTGGGAAAAGGGTCGAGGGTGTTTGGGTGCTTGGCGGCATTGAACGTGAAAGTCGGCAAGTGTTCCTCACAACCCTGACCGACCGAAGTGCCCTCATCCCCGCTATTGAGAAGCATGTGGCTAAGGGAACCACAATCATCACCGATTGTTGGAAGGCATACAACAAGCTTGGGAAGCTTGGCTACACCCACATGACTGTGAACCATAGTGAAAACTTTAAGGACCCAGAGATAGGTGCTCACACAAACACCATCGAATCAACGTGGCGAGCAGTGAAAAACACTGGACTACCTGGATCTGGGACCCAGAAAGCACTATACGATTCGTACTTTGTTGAGTACATTTTCCGTCGAAAATACTTGTCTGGGGCTCAGGACAAGTACCTCGCTTTCTTGGAGGCAGTGAAACGAGTATATGCACCTACCCTTGATCGTGTGGTAGATCGCCTAGAACGAAAGCCCCTCGCTGAGAAGATGTAAAGCTTCCCGACGTGTTTCGTCCAAGAAAAAAACAGACAACAAGCGAAACACGTCTGCAGTTTCCTTTTGGAAACCAAGCTGCACTGACAAGTCCTGGTGGGACGAAACGTGTTTCAAAACCAATGGGATGCAAGGGAATTTACTCTGTTCAAAGGTAAGTTAGCATCGTAAAGGGGTGCCCAACCCTAACCCTAACCCTAAGGATCGTAAAGGGGTGCCCAACCCCTAACCCTAAGGATCGTAAAGGGGTGCCCAACCCTAACCCTAAGGATCGTAAAGGGGTGCCCAACCCTAACCCTAAGGATTGTAAAGGGGTCCCAACCCTAACCCTAAGGATCGTAAAGGGGTGCCCAACCCTAACCCTAAGGATCGTAAAGGGGTGCCCAACCCTAACCCTAAACCTAAGGATCGATGAATGACTGCGTTATAGTAAGACAGTGCAGTAGAGCTACAGAGCAGCCGCGCTATAGCGCGATGCGCACTGATTGCTCATTAGTGAGCGTTCTGCGCCCGGCGGGCTGCGCCCGGTAAACTGCATTCTAGCCCACCCGCCCTACCAGTGAAACAATTTGTGCACTCCGATCGCACACGTACTCACCCGATATAGCGCGAGCAATGCAATCGTCGAAATCACCAGAACATCGAATTCTCGTGTTGGGATATAGTTTAGTCTATAGTTTATAGTTAAAACTTAGGTGGGGGGTACGTAAGGAACTCTTACCAAAACTGGTATCTTCACATATTAATGAATTATGGTACTTATCAACGCTTAACCCAAATGTCTGAAATGGAAACTCATGCCTTGGATCCAAATAGAGTATCAACAATAAATGATGAGTTACTTCCCTTTGCACATAACAAAACGCGACAGTGGTGTGCTAGTTCATAAAAAGAAGTTTAGAAATTGCACAGTATGTGACTTTAATCTCTGATGTGCATAGCCTTACCAAACACTGATCGCTGTGCTCTCTCAGCTGCCGTCATCGGCGGATTCATCTGGTTCATAATATTCGCCATTTTCGTTTTGTCTCGCACCACCTCGCGTGCTTGGTATTAAAGCTCCAGGCAGCGATGCGAGCGGAGTCGCTAAATGATATTATGTTTGAAACTCCAGATATCGTTAAGATACGGAACCGGAAGTACAGAGGTTTATTTGTTTGCATCGCACTTTGCCACTTTACAACAGTGATACATACCGTTGAAAGTAAGCAAAACGCAGGCATATCATAAGTTGGATTAGTATCTAACATTCGTAATTTAAATTCTGATGGATTCCATGAATTATTTCGTTCGTAATAGCGCTCTGATCTGATAAGAATGTGTTAGATATAAATATAGCATATCTACAGAGTAAACGTTAGTCACTAAACCAAAGCGCATCATCTTTTTCAGGGTACTGAACATGGCCGGGGTGTTAGCGAAGAAAGCTGTCACTTACGTGAAGAGCAAAGAGTTTCGACAATACCTATGCAGGTATATCTTTTTTGTTACCAATTGAAAGACACTTTGAAAGAGAAAAATTCAAAACGCTTGATAATTAATTACGTCATTGTTTCATTAACCCACACTTGATTTCTAATAACATTTTTTTCCTTGACCTTAAAGTATGACACGGTAGATTTCTTTCAAAATCAACCCTTTAGAGACATGTGTGTTTTGAAGTAGAAATCAAATGTCATAAATCTATATTGTGTATCCCACCGTATGTCGTAACTTGTAAGAACATGATTGTGAAATTAAGTAACTGAGAACATTAGAAATAACTAGCAAACGTATGTAGGAGGGTCAACCACACTGAGACAGAATGATTGATGATAGCTATCAGGCAGACACTGTATTGTTTCAATCTCAGTAAGACCATGAACAAAACTCAGCATTCTACATTAGGACCTGTGAACACCACCAGAGGTGGTTCTTCGGGCAAGTCTTGTTCGAAACCTTGAACTGACCAATCAAATAGCATACACTGAAGGTTCTTGAGACTGTCATATAGAAGTTTTCTTCTGTCATTCACTGCCATTAACTATACCTACTCAATGTGTTAGTTTAGATTCATATAAGAATACACACACAACTGAAATATGCACATTGATTTATGTTCTTATGCATTGATCTCATTGTCAAACAGAATCATATTGGAATACAAGATTTGTATATTATTGTGTGATGATATGCAGAGAGACAGGGGACATCATATGGATTTTAGCGATGAGCCCCCTAGACAGTGGATAATGGTTGAAAAATGGAATTGATGATCTATGAAATGTTTAAAATCGAATTGCTCACAAATACGCATTCAGTGAATTGAACCATTCACGAAATCAGTTAATTATTTGTACTTAGAAAAATCGAATATTCATTAATTTTTTGCAAGGAACGTTTTTACATGAATTTGATATTATTTATCAAAGTGAAATATGCAAAATGGAATATATCCAAGCCAAGCAGCTTAGTAGTCAACACTCTTTTATATTTAATTTGAAAGTAATGTGGTCACTGGTCACTGTTTAAATGGTCTAAACATATCAAAGAATGTAGTTTGTAATTGTTTCACTGATTATAATGACTCATACATTACCTTCAGACTTGTTAATGTATTTGTTACCCAATATTTATGATATTTATCAAATTCAACTCAGTGATTTCATTGCAGCCCTACTCACAAATCCAGGAAAATATTTGATAACCTAATAGTCAGTGAATCACTGAATGATAAGGGACTGTTCATAATTTATGGCTAGGGGGTGTGTGATGATGAGCTTAGGGGTGGGGGTGGGTGGAAGGGTTGTCACCAATTTTGTTCTGGAGAGGTAGGGGGTCATCAATTTTGTACATATGTTAGATGTACTGGGGTTGGAGTGGGGGTTGTTAGCATTTTGTACACCAAAATAAGAAAAATTATGTTATATATTATGAGAAGGGGTGGGGGGTTCATTGATTTTTTACATGATATGCAAGGGGAGGGGGTCACTTTGTACTTACATTTTAGGGGGGTCATTCCAGGAAAATCATCATCACCCCCCTTGCCATAAATTATGAATGGTCCCTAATGTAGCTATTTCAGCTTGTGTACACTTGTCTTTAAACATTTTTTCTTGCTCATTGAATTCAGAGAGCACACATGTGTGAAACTGTAATGGTAGTGCACAGATGTGGAGTTTAATGTAACAGACAGATGTCACTGTTATTAGGTCATACAACTTGTGACTTACATGGCGCAGAATAGTAACTTATGCTAGTTACCAGAAACAGCTTAGAAATTCTGTATCATACCAAATCATTGAAAAAAAATCAGTTGTTTGAACCCAAGAGAATAACAATTTGCAGAATACTGACAGAAATCTATCCAATGCCCATTGTGAATAAAATATGAAAATACAGAGTGGCTCCAGAAACATCATCGGTAGCCCTATTTCAGACATATATCAGGGACGTCAGGTTGTGTCTACAATAATGTATTTAGTCCAGTAGAATGTAAATATATTCCACGTTCAGTATCCACATCTGTTGTTTACAAAACATGTACTGCATATATCTGGTTTTATGTAGTTTGCATTGTTGTAGCTGAACTGACTCTCATCATAATCTCAAGACTGACATACAGATCCATCTGAAAACATTTTTGTAAAATAAAACCTGAGCTACTTCTCGTCACTAATGGAGGAAATGAAGATGGTAATATCATGATTTCCCCAAACACATGACATAATTTATGTATGTAAATATCTGTATCCAGTCTTTGTCCGTAGCAGTCTCTTAATGTGATATGTTATTTTTTAATATCATATCAGGTTACAAATAAACCTATTGTCTGTGTAATAGTATTATACTGAACATGAATACCATTAAACATGGTCAATGGAAGTGTTTGTGAAAAATTCTTTGGACTACTTAAATTTTGGGGAATGTGGCTTGTCCTACTTTTGGACTGAATAGGCTACTGCACACATATACAATTAAAAATATTGTTTACAAAGTCACTACTACTACTACTACTACTGCCTGCTTCTGCTGCTGCTACTACTACTACTACTACTATTATAAATACTGTTAAGTTATTACTTCTAATACAAGGGCAGTTGGAGGAATTATTAAGGATTATCAATGTGAAGATTGTATGATTGATATTATGACATAAACTATTGTGAAATAAAGTTTTATTCTAACACTATACACAAAGTTACACATTTTATTCATGTGCTTCTTTGTCAACATATTACCACTCATCAGTGAAATATGTTGAATTCTTTCAGATTTGTTTTCAATTTTTTCCCAAAGTTACTTTTCCAATATCTATTGATGATAAAGCAGTATATAATAAATGGTTTTCGATCACTATGATCCATATTGATAGCAATGGCTATCTACTACTTCTAATCTACTACTGCTGCTGCTGCTATTACTGCTTCTACAACAACTATATGTTAGCTGGTGTTGCCAAGGAGTGGGTAGCCATCTACAACAACTATATGTTAGCTGGTGTTGCCAAGGGCGGATGGGTAGCCATCTACAACAACTATATGTTAGCTGGTGTTGCCAAGGGGCGGTGGGTAGCCATCTACAACAACTATATGTTAGCTGGTGTTGCCAAGGGGCGGTGGGTAGCCATCTACAGCAACTATATGTTAGCTGGTGTTGCCAAGGAGTGGTGCGGTAGCCATCTACAACAACTATATGTCAGCTGGTGTTGCCAAGGAGTGGTGGGGTAGCCATCTACAACTACTATATGTTAGCTGGTGTTGCCAAGGAGTGGTGGGGTAGCCATCTACAACTACTATATGTTAGCTGGTGTTGCCAAGGAGCGGTGGGGTAGCCATCTACAACAACTATATGTTAGCTGGTGTTGCCAAGGGGTGGTGGGGTAGCCATCTACAACAACTATATGTTAGCTGGTGTTGCCAAGGAGTGGTGGGGTAGCCATCTACAACAACTATATGTTAGCTGGTGTTGCCAAGGAGCAGTGGGGTAGCCATCTACAACAACTATATGTTAGCTGGTGTTGCCAAGGAGTGGTGGGGTAGCCATCTACAACTACTATATGTTAGCTGGTGTTGCCAAGGAGGCGGTGGGGTAGCCATCTACAACAACTATATGTTAGCTGGTGTTGCCAAGGAGCGGTGCGGTAGCCATCTACAGCAACTATATGTTAGCTGGTGTTGCCAAGGAGCGGTGGGGTAGCCATCTACAACAACTATATGTTAGCTGGTGTTGCCAAGGAGCAGTGGGGTAGCCATCTACAGCAACTATATGTTAGCTGGTGTTGCCAAGGAGCGGTGGGGTAGCCATCTACAACAACTATATGTTAGCTGGTGTTGCCAAGGGCGGTCACGGTAGCCATCTACAACAACTATATGTTAGCTGGTGTTGCCAAGGAAGTGGTGGGGTAGCCATCTACAACAACTATATGTTAGCTGGTGTTGCCAAGGGCGGTCGGGTAGCCATCTACAACAACTATATGTTAGCTGGTGTTGCCAAGGGGCGGTGGGGTAGCCATCTACAACAACTATATGTTAGCTGGTGTTGCCAAGGAGCAGTGGGGTAGCCATCTACAGCAACTATATGTTAGCTGGTGTTGCCAAGGAGTGGTGGGGTAGCCATCTACAACAACTATATGTTAGCTGGTGTTTCCAAGGAGCGGTGCGGTAGCCATCTACAACAACTATATGTTAGCTGGTGTTGCCAAGGATGTGCGGTAGCCATCTACAACAACTATATGTTAGCTGGTGTTGCCAAGGCGATTGGGTAGCCATCTACAACAACTATATGTTAGCTGGTGTTGCCAAGGAGGGTCGCGGTAGCCATCTACAACAACTATATGTTAGCTGGTGTTGCCAAGGAAGGTGGGGTAGCCATCTACAACAACTATATGTTAGCTGGTGTTGCCAAGGGGCGGTGGGTAGCCATCTACAACAACTATATGTTAGCTGGTGTTGCCAAGGAGCGGTGGGGTAGCCATCTACAACAACTATATGTTAGCTGGTGTTGCCAAGGAGCGGTGGGGTAGCCATCTACAACAACTATATGTTAGCTGGTGTTGCCAAGGAGCGGTGGGGTAGCCATCTACAACAACTATATGTTAGCTGGTGTTGCCAAGGAGCGCGGTGGGTAGCCATCTACAACAACTATATGTTAGCTGGTGTTGCCAAGGGGCGGTGGGGTAGCCATCTACAACAACTATATGTTAGCTGGTGTTTCCAAGGAGTGGTGGGTAGCCATCTACAACAACTATATGTTAGCTGGTGTTGCCAAGGAGTGGTGGGGTAGCCATCTACAACAACTATATGTTAGCTGGTGTTTCCAAGGAGTGGTGGGGTAGCCATCTACAACAACTATATGTTAGCTGGTGTTTCCAAGGGCTGCGGTAGCCATCCATCTACAACAACTATATGTTAGCTGGTGTTGCCAAGGGGTGGTGGGGTAGCCATCTACAACAACTATATGTTAGCTGGTGTTGCCAAGGGGTGGTGGGGTAGCCATCTACAACAACTATATGTTAGCTGGTGTTGCCAAGGGGTGGTGGGGTAGCCATCTACAACAACTATATGTTAGCTGGTGTTTCCAAGGAGTGGTGGGGTAGCCATCTACAACAACTATATGTTAGCTGGTGTTGCCAAGGAGTGGTGGGGTAGCCATCTACAACTACTATATGTTAGCTGGTGTTGCCAAGGGGCGGTGGGGTAGCCATCTACAACAACTATATGTTAGCTGGTGTTGCCAAGGGGTGGTGGGGTAGCCATCTACAACAACTATATGTTAGCTGGTGTTGCCAAGGGGCGGTGGGGTAGCCATCTACAACAACTATATGTTAGCTGGTGTTGCCAAGGGTGGTGGGGTAGCCATCTACAACAACTATATGTTAGCTGGTGTTTCCAAGGTGGTGGGGTAGCCATCTACAACAACTATATGTTAGCTGGTGTTGCCAAGGAGTGGTGGGGTAGCCATCTACAACTACTATATGTTAGCTGGTGTTGCCAAGGAGCGGTGGGGTAGCCATCTACAACAACTATATGTTAGCTGGTGTTGCCAAGGGGCGGTGGGGTAGCCATCTACAACAACTATATGTTAGCTGGTGTTGCCAAGGGGCGGTGGGTAGCCATCTACAACAACTATATGTTAGCTGGTGTTGCCAAGGGGCGGTGGGTAGCCATCTACAGCAACTATATGTTAGCTGGTGTTGCCAAGGAGTGGTGCGGTAGCCATCTACAACAACTATATGTCAGCTGGTGTTGCCAAGGAGTGGTGGGGTAGCCATCTACAACTACTATATGTTAGCTGGTGTTGCCAAGGAGCGGTGGGGTAGCCATCTACAACAACTATATGTTAGCTGGTGTTGCCAAGGGGTGGTGGGGTAGCCATCTACAACAACTATATGTTAGCTGGTGTTGCCAAGGAGCAGTGGGGTAGCCATCTACAACAACTATATGTTAGCTGGTGTTGCCAAGGAGCAGTGGGGTAGCCATCTACAGCAACTATATGTTAGCTGGTGTTGCCAAGGGTGGTGGGGTAGCCATCTACAACTACTATATGTTAGCTGGTGTTGCCAAGGAGCGATTGGGGTAGCCATCTACAACAACTATATGTTAGCTGGTGTTGCCAAGGAGCGGTGCGGTAGCCATCTACAACAACTATATGTTAGCTGGTGTTGCCAAGGGGCGGTGGGGTAGCCATTTACAACAACTATATGTTAGCTGGTGTTGCCAAGGAGCAGTGGGGTAGCCATCTACAGCAACTATATGTTAGCTGGTGTTGCCAAGGAGTGGTGGGGTAGCCATCTACAACAACTATATGTTAGCTGGTGTTTCCAAGGAGCGGTGCGGTAGCCATCTACAACAACAATATGTGAGCTGGTGTTGCCAAGGAGCGGTGGGTAGCCATCTACAACAACTATATGTTAGCTGGTGTTGCCAAGGAGGCGGTCACGGTAGCCATCTACAACAACTATATGTTAGCTGGTGTTGCCAAGGGGCGATTGGGGTAGCCATCTACAACAACTATATGTTAGCTGGTGTTGCCAAGGGCGGTCGCGGTAGCCATCTACAACAACTATATGTTAGCTGGTGTTGCCAAGGGGCGATTAGGGGTAGCCATCTACAACAACTATATGTTAGCTGGTGTTGCCAAGGAGCAGTGGGGTAGCCATCTACAGCAACTATATGTTAGCTGGTGTTGCCAAGGAGGTGGTGGGGTAGCCATCTACAACAACTATATGTTAGCTGGTGTTTCCAAGGAGGCGGTCGCGGTAGCCATCTACAACAACTATATGTTAGCTGGTGTTGCCAAGGAGCGGTCGCGGTAGCCATCTACAACAACTATATGTTAGCTGGTGTTGCCAAGGAGTGATTGGGTAGCCATCTACAACAACTATATGTTAGCTGGTGTTGCCAAGGAGGGTGCGGTAGCCATCTACAACAACTATATGTTAGCTGGTGTTGCCAAAGGCGATTGGGGTAGCCATCTACAACAACTATATGTTAGCTGGTGTTGCCAAGGAGCGATGGGGTAGCCATCTACAACAACTATATGTTAGCTGGTGTTGCCAAGGGGTGGGGTAGCCATCTACAACAACTATATGTTAGCTGGTGTTGCCAAAGGCGGGCGGTGGGGTAGCCATCTACAACAACTATATGTTAGCTGGTGTTGCCAAGGGGCGGTGCGGTAGCCATCTACAACAACTATATGTCAGCTGGTGTTGCCAAGGAGCGGTGGGGTAGCCATCTACAACAACTATATGTTAGCTGGTGTTGCCAAGGTGATTGGGGTAGCCATCTACAACAACTATATGTTAGCTGGTGTTTCCAAGGAGTGGTGGGTAGCCATCTACAACAACTATATGTTAGCTGGTGTTGCCAAGGAGTGGTGGGGTAGCCATCTACAACAACTATATGTTAGCTGGTGTTTCCAAGGAGTGGTGGGGTAGCCATCTACAACAACTATATGTTAGCTGGTGTTTCCAAGGAGCGGTGCGGTAGCCATCTACAACAACTATATGTTAGCTGGTGTTGCCAAGGGGTGGTGGGGTAGCCATCTACAACAACTATATGTTAGCTGGTGTTGCCAAGGGGTGGTGGGGTAGCCATCTACAACAACTATATGTTAGCTGGTGTTGCCAAGGAGTGGTGGGGTAGCCATCTACAACTACTATATGTTAGCTGGTGTTTCCAAGGGTGGTGGGGTAGCCATCTACAACAACTATATGTTAGCTGGTGTTGCCAAGGGTGGTGGGGTAGCCATCTACAACTACTATATGTTAGCTGGTGTTGCCAAGGTGATTGGGGTAGCCATCTACAACAACTATATGTTAGCTGGTGTTGCCAAGGCGGTCGCGGTAGCCATCTACAACAACTATATGTTAGCTGGTGTTGCCAAAGCGCGATGCGGTAGCCATCTACAACAACTATATGTTAGCTGGTGTTGCCAAGGAGCAGTGGGGTAGCCATCTACAACAACTATATGTTAGCTGGTGTTTCCAAGGAGTGGTGGGGTAGCCATCTACAACAAATATATGTTAGCTGGTGTTGCCAAGGAGTGGTGGGGTAGCCATCTACAACAACTATATGTCAGCTGGTGTTGCCAAGGAGCGGTGCGGTAGCCATCTACAACAACTATATGTTAGCTGGTGTTGCCAAGGAGCGGTGGGTAGCCATCTACAACAACTATATGTTAGCTGGTGTTGCCAAGGAGCAGTTTGGTAGCGAAGCAGTTAATGTTCTCTCATCCCGTCAAAGGCCTGGGTTTGATTCCCACATCGATACAATGTGTTTAGCCAATGGCAGGTGTTCTCCACCGTAATATTGCTGGGACATAAAACCCCTCCTGCCCTCCTATCTCTCTCCTCTCTCTCTCTTGGGCGGTGGGGTAGCCTAGTGGTTAAAGCTTTGGCTCGTCACGCCGAAGACCCGGGTTCGATTCCCCACATGGGCACAATGTGTTAAGCCCATTTTTGGTGTCCCCCGCCATGATATTGCTGGAATACTGCTAAAAGCGGTAAAACAAAATCAGTCAGTCAGTCAGTCAGTCTCTCTCTCTTCCTCAACCCCCACACACACACACATACACACACACACTCACTCACTCACTCACTCACTCACTCACATGAGTTTGAAAGCTGATGGTAATGTATTGTTGTCTTGTTTCATGTTGCTGTGTCCTGCCTGTACCAACATGTCTCCTCATCAGCACAGTAAGTACCACCAGTATACAGTATTCCAGTCAGGGAATCTTGAGGGACTAGTTGTTATCTGTATCAAACACTAGTTATCTGTAAGAGGCGACTAACGGGATCGGGTGGTCAGGCTCACTGACTTGGTTTACACATGTCATCAGTTCCCAATTACGCAGATCGATGCTCATGCTGTTGATCACTGGATTGTCTGGTCCAGACTTGATTATTTACAGACTGCCGCCATAAAGCTGGAATATTGCTGAGTGTGGCGTAAAACTAAACTCACTCACTCACTAGTTATCTGTATCAAAAACTAGTCCAACATGAGCTGTTTAAACAGTTGGATGTGACCAATGATGTAACTTGTTCACCCTCCTCTGATTATCTTTGTATTATTATGTAGTGATCAAAGCATTCGCTTGTCATGCCGAAAGACTTTGGTTTGATCCCCCATTTGGGTACAATGTGTGAAGCCGATTTCTTGTTTCCCTGGAATATTGCTAAAAGTGGTGTAAAACCATACTCACTAAGTATTATAAGGTGTTCATCAGGTGAAACAGTCTGTTAATGGAAGTTTTTGATGAGTGGTCGTGACTACAGATGGCCTCCTCGGTAAATATAGTCTTTGTGGGATATCAGCTTTTGTGCAGAATCTTGTAAACATTCTTGGAGTGAATGTAGTTGATCACAAATATCCCAAAGATGCAGTACAGATATGTCTTACATCTCACTACTTGCTTTTTGTACCGCATGGCATTGTGTTATTTCCCAATCTCATCCTCTCCTTCTTGTTTCAGCACTTCTGGGGTCCAGGTGAGTAGATCTACACAGCAGAATTTACCGTGGCACAATCTCATTAAAGTCAGATGTTAGCATTATTAGTGCTGGCTTACACAAAGATCTGAGGACATTCTATCTCAGTTCATATCAGAACGACCTTACAGAAAGTTTGACTGACCAATGAAATGATTAACAGGGAGTCAGGATTAGCCAATCAGAAAGCAGCCATTTCCGGCTTTATGACACTAGTTTCAAACTGTCAACTTTTATGTTCGTGTCCTACAATCTTTGGACAGAGGCATCATATGGTACACTTTGATTGAAGTTTGTTAACACATGATTGTAAGTTTGTTAACACATGTTTGTAAGTTTGTTAACACATGTTTGTAAGTTTGTTAACACATGTTTGTAAGTTTGTTAACACATGATTGTAAGTGTGTTAAGACATGATTGTAAGTGTGTTAAGACATGATTGTAAGTTTGTTAACATGATTGTAAGTTTGTTAACACATGATTGTAAGTTTGTTAACACGATTGTAAGTTTGTTAACACATGTTTGTAAATTTTAAACTTATCCAATGGACAGAGGCATCATATGGTACACTTTGATTGAAGTTTGTTAACACATGATTGTAAGTTTGTTAACACATAATTGTAAGTTTGTTAACACATGATTGTAAGTTTGTTAACACATGTTTGTAAGTTTATTAACACATGATTGTAAGTGTGTTAAGACATGATTGTGTGTTAAGACATGATTGTAAGTTTGTTAACATGATTGTAAGTTTGTTAACACATGATTGTAAGTTTGTTAACATGATTGTATGTTTGTTAACACATGTTTGTAAATTTTAAACTTATCCAATCTCACGGTATGCACTTCTCTCTCTTGATTCGACACTGAGTGGAACGATGTAAACATTTTTTCCTTGGCCCCTCTTGTCCATCTGCCCAAGCACTCCATGCTACCCTCATTATAAGACAGCTTCCTAGTTGTCATGCAAAGCAGGCGGCATGCACCACTAGCTACCCACGTGACTATCTCCGAATCATCATTCTCTTTCTTGTTGCACTTGAGTGTGAACGTATTTTGCTTTGCTCAACGTTTTCAACTTAGTCTACAACATGGGGAAAGCTGACCTGCCAAAAAAGAGGAATAAATGCTCCCGGTGTAATAAAGTGTTCTCCGCGAGTGATCCACATGTGTCTTGTGTTGACTGTATGGGACAGTGTAAATGGGACTCTCGTTGCGATAAATGCAAGGATCTTACCTTTCGAGGCGCTTGGTGACTACACTCGGGCTTGCACTCGTGTTGCTGACAGAGCTCGTTATGCCGCTTCACTTGACGGACCCAATCCCTCCTAGAACGAAAAGTTTAAGTGTCCTACTTTGTCTGCTCAGCGGTCACAGTCCCCTCCCTCGAATGAAGAGGATTTCATGAGAACGTTGTCAGATTCTTACTTATCGGAGGACCTTCAGAATTTGTTGGGCTCTCAACATTCCAGCCCGAGTCCTTCGTCTTCGACCACGTCCCGGGTAGTGGTTGTCGAGACTGCTACCACCCCTCAGAATACCTCTACACAGCTGGACCTTCGAACTACGCTCTCTGTCTCTCGTTCTCCGGACCAGTTATCTCGGCAACCTCGCTTATCTGTTTCGGACAAGAATCAGCTGATCTCTACCTCACCTCAACGCCTGTCAGTGGTTACTTCACCGTCTCCTTCCCATTCGGCGAAAAGAAGTGTTTCTTGCATCCAGCTACCTTGATCTTCTGCTTTGCCGAAGCCTGCCAGATCGAATCACAGTTCGCCGGATCACGCTTCGCCTGACCGTTCCCCTCCACCTCGACTTTCCCCGGACTGTCCACCTTCCCCAGAATTAGACCGGCTCTCTACGAAACAGCTTTCGCCGAACCGGTCTTCATCGAAGCACCAGTCTAAGCTTCAGCATTCTCCGGATCGATCGTCTGCTAAACAGACTTCACCTAATCGTACTTTGTCGAAACAATGTTCGCCAAAACGGAAGACTTCACCGAGACGGCATGTGGTAAATAGACTTTCGCCAAAGCAGCCTTCTTTCAAGCGGTATTCAGCGGAATGCCTCTCTCCGGATCATCTGAGTACTTCCCCGAACTCTGTTGGATCCTACAGTCATGCCTCTTCAGCACGAACGAGGCTTTCACCAAGTCGTCTGGATCAGTCTCCTGTTATTATTCGGATTTGTTCACCGGATAGACCTGGTAGGTCTACTTCACCGCCGAGACGCCACTTTTCGACTCATTCGCATTCAACTAAGCACACGCCTCTCTCTGCTTCGTAGAGATTGGTTCTTCGTTCCAAGTCACCTCCTCGGACTTCGTCTTCTCGTCATCATGTGACTTCCGGTTCTGCGCACTCAACCCGTCAACCTAGATCTCCTACACGGTTGACTGCTGCCTATCGTTCAAGATGCAGGGATTGTCGTTATCGTTGCGATATCTCCCCTCCTCGCTCCCGTTCTCCTCAGCTGGTCTCCATTTGTGCATCCTCTCCCGGTTCATCCCCTTCCAGACATAGATATGGTTCTACGGATCGTCGATCTAATCAACGGGGTTCCGAGCCTCGATCTCAGCGTTCTACGACTTCTGACGGGACTCCTGCCTCCTCGCGTCTCTCTACTCGGATTGTACCAGATTCCTGGACTCCTGCGCAGGAAACTACTCCCACTCTCTCCCCAACCCCCCACCCCCAAGCAGTGACTCATCGAAACAAGGGCACGACTGGGAACTCCCGCCTCCAGCCGTCCCCATTTACAACACTCCAGTGGGCGGGAGACTAGGGAGGTTCGCTCCCAACTGGACCATACTAGACGATCCATTCGTGACCGACCTCCTCGCCGAAGGCTATCAACTTCCAGTCATCGGACGCCCGCCACTGACAGTGCATCCGGTACATCGCAGCTACCCGGCGGACCAGGTCCAGGTTCTTCACTCCACCATAGGTACACTCATAGAGAAATGTGCAGTCCAGTTTCTCGGTCTGGCACCCAGCACTCCGGGGTTCTATTCCACCATCTTTCTGGTTCCCAAGAAAAACTCCACAAAACTAAGACTCATTTTCAACATGAAACTTTTCAATGCCCACTATCTCCAGCGCCCACCTCACTTCCTTCTTCGCACCATCCTGAAGAAAGGGATTTTCTTGTCAGCCTAGACCTTCAAGATGCTTATCTTCATGTGCCCAATGATCCGGATTCGTGGAAATTCCTCCGATTCGTGTTCCAAGGGTCCTGCCTTTTGAAATTTCCACTCCCCGTGGCTATTTACCAGGATCACCAAGCCTATCAACAGGTTTCTGACTGCATTCAGGCACAGAGAGAGGTTGGTTGGTTGTCGAAGTCGAAACTAACACCAACCCAGACCTTTCAATTCATCGGGGCAACTTTCAACACGCACCAGGGCCTGATTTTCGTCCCCCAAGACAGATGGCTGAAAATTCAATGGCTAGTTCCGTTAGCACTGTCGCAGGCCAGTACCTTACGACAGTGGCAGGAACTTTTAGGCCTCTTGACATTGGCACAGGCATTGACACGGCGGGGACAATTGCAACTGCGTCCATTGCAGCGTTTTCTGCGTCCGTATCTCGTCTCAGGGAATCTCAAGGAGTTGATTCGTCTTCCCGAACCCTTACGTCCTTTTCTTCAGTGGTGGCTTGTAGAACAGAACGTTTGCGCCGGAGTTTGTTTGATGCTGTTCATTCCAACACCACATCGCTCGGGAGCACCCATCTCCCTGGGAGATGTTGTGCTTAGTAAACCAAGGAGTTCAGAGGAACTCATCACAAGCATAGGAGTTGGGCTAGTTGTAACAGGCCTCCCTTGAGCATCGCTATCAACGGTTGTTTCCAGTCTACACAGTTCTACTGTTCGCATTGACAAGACACAGGGTATCTGCGTCCCGCCGTCTGACTGTGGGATAAGTGCATACCGTGAGATAAGATTTAAAAGTTTTACAATTTGAAAATTTTAAATATAAATTGTATATTTATATACTTATCCTATCTCACGTGACGGGTTCCCGCCCATCCTGCCCGCTATGCAGATTCTCCAAGATTGATATTCCAGTGGCTCCAAGAATGAGAATGATGATTCGGAGATAGTAACATGGGTAGCTAGTGGTGCATGCCGCATGCTTTGCATGACAACTAGGAAGCTGTCTTATAATGAGGGTAGCATGGAGTGCTTGGGCAGATGGACAAGAGAGGCCAAGGGAAAAAAGTTTACATCGTTCCACTCAGTGTCGAATCAAGAGAGAGAAGTGCATACTGTGAGATAGGATAAGTATATAAATATACAATGTATATTTCAAATTTCCAAGTTTGTTAACACATGATTGTAAGTTTGTTAACACATGATTGTAAGTGTGTTAACACATGAATGTGTTTGTCATCGCAGTGGCCAACTGGGGACTCCCTCTGGCAGCCCTTGGGGACCTGAAGAAGGATCCAGAGATTATTAGTGGAAAGATGACCTTAGGTAAATTGACCATAGGTTTCTCATGCACCGTTCTGACCATTTTGACCAAGGTCCAGGTGATTTGTTTAGTCCTGTAGATATTGTTACTGCTAGCTTGTTGAGGGAAGTGAGAAGTTTCTGTCATGGACTGTGAACCTAGCAGAAGAAATGATTATGATCCAGGGATTGAAATAATGCTCAATTTGCATGATTGTTTTGTAAGTCATTCATATTATTGATGTGACGGTCATTTGGCCTGATACCAAAGTATTCAACTTTTGAAGGGGTAGAAAATTATATTTTGCTGGGAAAACTTACACACTTGAACTTTTATGAATTATGAGTTAGTGAGTGAGCATAGTTTTATGCCACTTTTAGCAATATTCCAGCAATATCAAGGCGGGGACACCAGAAATGGGCTTCACACATTGAGTGAACGCTTTAATCACTAGGCTACCCCACCGCCCTTTTTCAATTATGAGTGAACCAATCTCATTGGCACCCACACTCATGTGTTTTGGCTTCAATGTTTTGTTTCAGCTCTGGCTATCTACTCCATGCTGTTCATGAGGTTCGCTATCAAGGTCCAGCCTCGCAACATGCTACTGTTCTCCTGTCACATTACTAACGAGTTTGCTCAACTAACTCAGTTAGCACGCTTCATGAACTTCCAGTAAGTCTGAAACTTCCGCTGTGGGAGCCCATTGTAGTGTATTCAAGGCCTGTGACGATGTCTGTGAGAATGTAACCCATGCTTGTCATAACATGCGATTGGAGAGGGAGGTCAAGGTCGGGTTGTTGATGAATCCCATCTCTTGTGATTGATAATCACTGGATTGTCTGGTCCAGACTTGACTATTTATATAGCAGGAATAATTATGTGAGTGTAATGTTAAACAAGTAGACAAAGAAATAAGAGCCTCTTCTCTACAGTTGGTAAAGGTCCCAATGGGGAATTGGTGCAATTGGCACAGGAGAGCTTGTGTGTTCGAGTCCAAGTTCAACCTGTACATTACTGAGTAGGGCTGGCTAAAAAGATCAATAATCGGAAATATCGTCTACAGGAAAAATTATTAATGGTTACTGATATGAAACTAGTGTTATCAATAATATCGTACAAACATTTTGTGATGGAATAAAGTTTTAATTCACTCAAACAATACATGAAGTTAGGTGTTTTATCATGGGCTGCTTCTAAACTATGTTCAGAAAGCTGTTTTGTTAGTATCCCATGCATTTAAACATGTCACCAGTCAACAGTTGTGGGAAATATATTCATTTCTTTCAGACATTTTTTGGCATTTTTGCTCAAAGTTACTTCTTGATATTTATCAATAATCGATCAATATTTAGTTAACGATTATCGATCTCTGGCACCTATATCGATATTCAGCTCCAGTACTGAGTTACTCCATTCAGCAAACTTCCCTGTGTCTGGGTCAAGTTCAATGATATTATTTATTATTATTATTATTATTATTATTATTATTATTATAGGATATTTATATAGCGCACATATCCACGCACTAGTGCATTTTGCCATTTGAAAAAATCCATAACCTTTTAAATGCTTATTGTAAATTTGTCACATATGCTGAGCTGTTGACATATTTTTCAGCTATTTTTCTGATGCATCAAAGAGGAAGAAGATTGAAGCCAACCCCGAATCAGCAGACGTGAAGAACCTCCAAGAGTCAAAGCCACATATATCTTCCTCCTCCCCGTAACGTGTGCTTGTTGACAGACACTCGGTAGTTACATCTTCCTGCTGGAGCCCCTCCCACCGATACACTGATCCTTACGTCATCAACTTTATGTGTAACTTTACACCTGTGCCACACGCTGTGCTGCTATTCATCAAACTTTACAGTCAGATCATTGCCTTTGAGATCGTGAAAATGTTTCCAGTGTTTCTTCACACAATTGTGTCTGGTAACTAAACAATTGTGTTTGAAATATCACACAAGCTGTTGTGTCAATAAGGACAGAGTTGACATGGATTTTGACTGATTTCTTCTCTTGGTCTGACAGTTCAGTACATATGATGAATGTTCCAGTAACTCTTCCAAAGTTTTACAAAACAGTAAAGAAGTCAACTCTTGTCTTCAGGTATGTGTACATTACTCCTGGAACTTCTTTACAAAAGGTTTTTGGACACTTTCGGTGTGTGATTGTATACTCATACAGGCTTATTGCTACAGTCAGTGTGTAATGTTACAGTTTAACATGGTTGTTGCAGCATACCAAAGCTGTAGAGTTACACTGTATGGGTGATGCTACACACTAGATCTGTAGTGTTACAGTGTAACATGGGTGTTGCAGCATACCAGAGCTGTAGAGTTACACTGTAACATGGGTGATGCTACACACTCGATCTGTAGTGTTACAGTGTAACATGGGTGTTGCAGCATACCAGAGCTGTAGAGTTACACTGTAACATGGGTGTTGCGGCACACTCGATCTGTAGTGATACACTGTAACATGGGTGGTGCTACACACCAGGGCCCCGTTTCACAAAGCTATCATAGCTAAGTCTATGTTACAGTATAGGAGTTACGACAGTCGTAGCACTACAATCGCTTTGAGGAAGGGGGCCCAGATCTCTAGTGATACACTGTAACAGGGATATTGCAGCATGCTAGATCTGTTGAGTTACAGTGTAACATGGATGATGCTACACACTAGATCTTTAGTACTACAATGTTTAGTGGGTACATTTACCTGGACTGCGACCCATTCTTACCTGGATATTGTTACACACCAAAGGCTAATGTTACACTGTAACATGGGTAGACAGACATCTATGAGCATCTTAAGATGTTGGGACATATTTGTGTATCTCCAGTGAAACTGATTCCTCATAATTTTGTTCCAGTTACAAATTAATGTTCTGTAAAAAATGATCCAAAGGGACTGTTGAGAGTGTATGATGGAATGTTTGTGAAGTTGACAGGAAGATGTAACTATCGATGTACCACACTGATGAGGCCGTGTGATAGAGGGACAACTGTTCAAGATGTCATGTCCATCCTCTTTTAAAATTAGTAATTTACGGTGACTTTTTCTTAGCCAGAGGTTAAACCTTATGAGTGAGAGGTTGTACATTTGTTGGTTTTGTTATTTTATAGACGTGTATAATTATTTTCAGATGTTGATTGTTGGTACAGAACACAGGGGATTCGTTTTCAACCTGTGCTAGCTGTATCCAGAACATATACTGAACACAAAAAGTAAGGGATCATGGATATTTTGGAGCATAGATTTATGAAGCATGTGCTCAGACTGAACCACAACAAAATGTCCCTTATGTTTATACCTCAGTGAATATAGTTTCGGACATGGCTCAGATATGTTGAGCATGTTATGAACCCTGTCAGAACATGGTTCTCTTGAGGGCTGATGATATTAATCAAGACAGTATTTAGAGATGAAAGTTGGTGCTCAACAAGACACAAGTTGTTGATATTTAACACACATCAGTTTTATCAATGGTCCAAGTAATCTTGCATCATTCAGATATCCCACTTATTGCTCTATCTCCTAGTGGGTACATTGTCATGTTCTTGTAAGAAGGGCAGTTTTGTGTTGCTGAAAGTAAACATTTCCATTTTCAAGTTTACTCATGTGTATTCTCAGTGGCCACATCTATGGTTTCAAACTTATGTGAAATCATACCTGTTAAAAGTTTTATATATAGTACAACTTTTGAAGTTTTTGAAAAAGTGATATGAATTTCTCTTACTTCATGTATATTTCTGGTATCCATCTTGATTTGGATTCAGTTGAAACAGAAATGGGGCGATGGGGTAGCCTAGTGGTTAAAGCGTTGGCTCGTCACGCCGAAGACCCGGGTTCGAATCCCCACATGGGTACAATGTGAAGCCCATATCTGGTGTCCCCGGCCGTGATGTTGCTGGAATATTGCTAAAAGCGGCATAAAACCAAACTCAGTCAGTCAGTCAAACAGAAATGAACCTGTGTTTAAGTTATCTCTCAATACGCAATGTCAGCTGTTGTAAGAACAATGAAACATATCAAACATATCACAGTATCCCAATGAGTGTAATCTTAGTATCTGCTTTGCATTTGTTTGGTTCTAAATCATGTTTCTTGGAAAAAGTCAAGTATGTAGAACTGATATTGACATGACTTCAATTTTGATTATGATTTGGAACATGGTGGCCTAACTTATGGTTGTGGGTTTGAATCCTGGATCCATGGTCATGTTTTCTTGGCTTATATGGTTTCAGCGGAGTGCAACACTTCGGGTTTCCCTCCGACAAGCCTGACATGATGTGATATAACTGAAATACTCACACTCAGCTATCAGCAGAAGATATTACACAGCGTCTTTTCGAAAGCATCTTGTGAGAGTATTCACACCAAAATTGTTTACGTTTGATTATCTCCACCAGTCTGTATTTAATAGTCATTCCGAAAACCTAGCATGAATAACTTGCAACAAACAACTCAGAGTGCATGTATAGTATTTTCCATTTGGCCCAAAATATCATTTAAGCTAACCTCCAACTGCCTCTACTGCAAATACTTACCTGTAATTAGTTATTCCAGGTGTAATCAGACACAGAGAGTTATATTCTTTCCTTAAACATGGCTGCAGAGACTTGTCAAGTGTGGGCGTGAAGTCCTACGAAAAGTCTGGTACAGTTCTTTGTGTTGTGTTGAAGAATCCCTGTAGCAAAAGGAATTGTGAAAAACCAAAGAGGATTGGTTGTATAGAATGTTGACAATTATCAATGAATAATCAGGTCTTGCTTGTTAGAACAGTTGTTACTCAGTCAAAATGTACAATGTATACACTCTTGCCAAAGCTAATGAGTATATTGTTTCATGTTGTTTCTACTTTTTGTTTTTAACAAGCATTTATCATATTTAATTTAAAGCTATTAACATATAGTCATAATGGTATTAATATTTATGTGTGGAATATTGCAAACAAACTTACAGGTTGGAAGCTGTGTATTCAGAAAAGGCAGCCGTCTCTACTAATATATTACAGAACTCTCTCTTGTGGTTTTAAGCGCACAAAATGGCAAACAATGGTGACAGGAATACTGATGCTATTCTGCAGATGGTGTAGAAAGTAAAAAATGAGCTTACATTGTTACAAGCAGTACTGTTTTGCTTGTGAAGACATTTTTTTGTATTTTTGGCTTCTTATTTTATACATTAAGCATGCACATTTTATTGATATGGAAACGCAAGGATGCTTCTCATTGATCTAATTTCTGAGCACTTTTCTGCATGAGATAAAGTTTTGTTCTTTTCATTAAGCTGTATGTGGTGGAAATGGGTTTTCATTAGTCTGCTTTGCTTTATATTAATACCACCTAGCTTTGGAATTGTTGTATCCTTCATACAGTGCATGGTAATCTGACAATTATACATTCAGTAAGGCTGGATATGCTAATTTCTAAATGGGCTAGAAATGCCATTTTTCAAATTTAATCAGGAACAATTCCAGTGAATTTGACAATCTGAAATTGTTTGACAAAGAGTACATATAATCCTGTCTGGTCTATAATCCTGCCTCTTGTTGTTGTGATTTGAATCACGACAGTTATTAACCAGTGAAATGAGAGGGAATAAACAGTGTATCTGGATATATTCAAGAGCATTGCCTTCTTGCCAGAACATCAGTGCCATAGTGCTGTATTACAGGGGACTCAGCTCAAGCAAACTGGTAGTCTCAGCAAATTGTCAGTCCCCCAAACACAAAACAAGTTTATGCTAGTTCTGTTGTTATGATTATTAATATTTACACAGAGACAGTATCACAATGTTAATGTATCAAGAACTGTTCAGATTCGAGACCTACAAGTTTTGTCCACTTTTAAAGTTTACTGCCAGCTGACCTGTAAAAATATCTTATTCAGTCGTATTTATCCCCCATGTATGTTTGTTTGGTGTGAGCTATATGTACATAGCAGACTGCAGTACAGTATTATATGAAGTTTCATGTTTGTTAGTTGGATTGACTAATATCGTTAAAAATAGAATCTGTTTCTCTGATGTGATACAACTGTGCATGAATATGTTAGCATATCTCTTGAGGTCAGATTTGGTGAACTGTGACTGTCTTATTGACAGAAGCATTGTTTTTTGAGTCAATCAAATGTTAGCTTTCTAAATAAGTTGCTTTCAATTATTTACCACTTTAATTCAGAAATGTTGATCTTCACAAAAGAAATTGCCACAGAACACAAATGTACCTTTTGTACTACGCCATTGTGAATGTTGATACTAGGATGCTTGGAAAGAGGATGTAATAAATATTCCCAATATGACTTAAGATATCCCAAACGAAATAATAGTGACTAGCCTAATAATATTCTATTTCAAAGAAATCAGATCTACTTGTCTGAAAGCTTTACTGACATCTGCAAAGAATTTAGAGTGAGTGAGTGAGTGAGTTTAGTTTTACGCCACTTTTAGCTATATTCCAACTTGACTTGACTTCTTCACACAGACGTATGTTTACATTCTTGCTAGTCTAATGCATATTGATTAATGGCTTCGTACAACACAAGCAGGATTAGGTAGATGCTCTGTAGTACTTGGGCTATGTACAGAGTGAACTTTCAACATTATTTTGTACAGTCACAGACATAACTACCTCGTCTATTGTGACTCAGCCACTCATGGCCATAATCCCTAAATTCTTGGTAAAAGTTGCTTTTGTTTACAATAACCTATGTTTATAATGAACAGTTATAACAAATTGACGAATATTACCATAACCAACTGCTCTGTTTTTCTTGCCACTTGTATGTTTAGTCCAAATTCATATAATGAACAATGGTTATACCGAACCGAAACTAGTGGTCCTTCTGAAATTGTCATTATTCATAGCTTACTGTATGTTTTCTTTTCATTCTGCAGTCCACAGTCACATCAGATAAAGCTAAGTTTGCAGGGAAGGAGAAAACATATAAGCCAGATTCTAATGCTAGATGAACTATGATTGGTAGAATTCCGGGACAGTTGTTTATGTAAATGGTTGAATGCAGTGAACGATGTGAATGATGATGGTTGGGGTTTGGTTTGCTACAACAATGCATCACTGTTTCATCTACTTACTCATTCATAGTTACACAGAAAATCATCAGTTAACAAGTAGGTTGAAATAATGAGCAGTAAACCAAATGGCTTGATCAAAGACTTTATTTGTAGGACTGAAAATCATATGTTCTAACATACCTTTGTGTGTTTATCAATCTTTAGTAGTGTTGTGAATAGGGATTACCTGAGGGGCATTATGAGCGTACTTTCAAAGCAGAAACAATGAGAGAGTGTTTCATCATTTCCCCATTTTTTTTTCATTCACTACATTTTTTCTCAAATGAGAATTCATTTACCAGGATCAGGTTTATATTGGGCTTTTTTATATTTATGTTTTCCCAACTCATATTTAATTGAGTTCAGCACTAGTGGCTGTGACTTTTATTGACCCCAATTTGACCCCAGTTTGATCCCAGTTTGACAAGCTCAAGCCACAGCACATAACAGAGTAATATATATTGTCATAAGCTGATCTTTAGTGCAAGGTGCATATCAGCATGACCAACATTGCACATTTGTCTTAACACATAAGTTTGATTTCTGTGATTGTTTGTTGATTTAAGTCCTTCATGGAAGAAGTGTATGAGATGCACACATTCAGTCTGTAGAGCCCGGTGCCTCCTGGGACAAGGTATGGTAAGGGCCTCCAGCCCACCATATATGCATTATATAAGAAATGATGAGAACCTGAACATATTGATTTGAAGGATACCTGGTATTAGATGTGTGAGGAGGAGAAGTCGTCGCTGTTCACATTTCAGCAATTATATCTTTGTGACTTATGATAACACCGCATAAATACATGAGGTTAGTTTATCAAATATATTGATTATTGAAGTTTTAAGGAAGCATATTTTGTTCGTTTTGCCCTATGGTGTTTTGTCTTGTTGGAATTCCAAAACTTTAGTAAGAAAAGACAAAACCAGTGGCCATCTGTTTCAACAGGGGTGATAGTTTTATACGGTTTGGGCAGCTTTAAGATTTGAGTAAAATGTGGACCACATATGGCCCTTATCCTGCCTCGTCCCTTTATGTAGTTGTAAAGGGCAGATGAAGTATTTACCCAACCCCTGCAGCTTGTTTGAATATATTGTGTGCTGGAGTGAATTGGGTAATGGTTTATATTTTGTTTTGAGAGAAATGTCCCTACAAAACAACCCACTTTAGTTATTTAATATTCTGTACTCCCAACAATACCAAAGATGGGCTTTATGTTTTGTACTGGAAGTATGTATATAGAATCTGTTGGAAAGGATATCCACAGCTGATGACGATTAAGAGAATAACCGACTAGCTGCAAGAAACTAAGGATCAATTTTGCATGTTCTGAGACAGATAATCCATTACTCTAAGATGCAAGCAGGTTATTCATTTATTACTTATTTTGTGTAGAATAGGTAAGTATTGGGTGTCCTCTTTTCAAATGGATACATCAGTTCACTTGCTCTATTACAACATTGCATAAATTATCCGGGATGTTATCTTCAACTCTTTGTGATCATACATTTGTAGAACGCCATGTTGCTGTAGGCATCCTTGCAAACGATGAAATTTTGTAACAGTTGTTACCATTTCCAGATAGACTAGTGTCATCTAATGTCTTTCAGTGGCATTTAGAAGTTGTACATTGATGTCCAAGATATTTTTTATGGATTAAACTTCTTTTTTAATTTCTCTCACAACGTTTGAGACCATTCCAGGTCCCTTCACCTGCTGAAGGGACCTGGAATGGTCTCGAAACGTTGTGAGAGAAATTAAAAAAGAAGTTTAATCCATAAAAAATATCTTGGACATTAGTGTCATCTATATCCCATAGATATCATTTAACTATGTGTACTTTGGGCTTTCATTTCCTTATTGCACAGTCAGAATAATTTTGCTTTGTTTGTAATATTAGGTACAAATGAAATTGACATCTACTGATTGGTGTGCTTCCAGTCCAAGGCTACTACAGGTAGCTGCAGACAGGTAAACATCCACTGATAGTAGCCCACATTAACCAGTAGCATCTGAGGGCTAAAATGTGGTCCAGTTTGTGAAGCTTTGATCTAGATGCAAATTGGAACTGCATAATTGAAGATATGTAAACAAAGTAAAGGTTGTCTGTTGAAGGAGGACTAGCTACCAAATGAGGACCAGTGGCGTAAGGCTGTGTTATGGGTGTGGAATATATTCATATAGTGAGTTGGTTCTGGGTTGTTTTCAATGCAGTGCTTCAGATTAATGAGTGATGGGTTATGTTACATCTACTTAAGTGATTTCTGTATTTTGTGATCAGTTATGGTTAGCTGTGAAACCACAAGTCATGTATTAAGCATTTGATCATGTTGATAGTGAAGAATGATTTGATCATTCTGAACAAAGTGCTTATTCAGCATTTGATCCTGGTGTGAGACTGATATAATCTGCTTATTTGTGATGGACACATTCTTTGGTGTCGGTTGCTGTTTCAGACACTCTTTGGCCAGACATCTCAAATTTTTTACCCCCAAAATCAAGTCATTAGAGCAAAAAGAATGTAAACATGAAAATCCAATTTCAAATGTATATTTTATTATCTCCTTAAAATATCAACTTACAGGAAAAAATGTGTAGGCTGGAAGGGGAGGGAGAGAAACAACAACCAGTGTCTCGAAACAAATGTCTTGGCAGGGTTGGCTGTTTAATGCAACAGTAGATTTTACGAATTACCATTTTACTCATTTCTAATGGGTGGAATAAAACCACTACTTTTAATATTCTTTTAAATTAATTTACATTTCAGTTTTTGGCGTCAGTAGATTTAAAAAACAAGTTTTAGAAGACGTTTGGCCTGAAAAGGGTGTCAGATAACAAATGTGACATTGCATGTTTGATGCCATTGGGCATGTACAAATTGTGAACGCCTGGTTTAGTTCTGTGTTGAAGAAGTGTTAACTTAGAGTTTTGACTGAATGCTAGCTAATCAGGAATAAAAACTAACAAGTCGTTGAGGTGTTCGTTTTGATTTCGTGTGTTTCCAATCCACAGCAGAACAAAGGATGAACCAAGCTCCATCACTGCCTCCACAGTGAGACCATGCTTCTGTATACTGAGGGAAGAAAATAAGGGAACACATAGAAACAGTAATATAACATACCCCCAAATATCCGACAACCAGATGAGCAACTCTGCAAAGTTACCAGATACCGCAGACTGTTGTCAGTCCAGAATTTTCAAGACTAACAAACAAAAATAGCAAGAGAGTAAACATAAGGACAGTGCTATATATAATGTTGAAATAACAAGAACCAATTTGATTATTTACTTTAACTTTCAGAAACATTTGATAATAGAATACATAGTACATGCGCTGTTATCAACAAAACATCAGTCAGGTCTGATGGTATAATCTGGAGCATTTGGCCAATACAAAATGACGAAAGAAAGTTTGTCAAACATATAAAAACTTACTGTCCATCAGAAAAATAGACTGTCTGGTTGGTGGGCATTTATTTAGAATGATAGAAATGTTGATGATGTTATGCACTCAGTAAAACATTATTTTCATAGCAACAGAAACAACTGCAGTGGTGTTAATGACAAGATACTGATATATTGACATGGGGGAAAAAATTACAACACCCATATTTTTCATAGTATTAATATGTTAACAACAGCAAAGCATCACTGTAACTTACTGTCTGAATAAATTGACCTTCAAGGAATAACTGAATGGCAAATCTAAAGAATGAAAAACTACTTTATTCAGAGAAGCAAACATAACTATGGCCGTATGACGTTATCAAGTGCAGTCATTTTCCAGATTCTGGCATACAATCCTCAAGAAATCCCATTAGTATCAATAACCGAGCACAAAGTCAATATCTGGTTTAACCTCCGTAAACAGCAATAACATCCCTTACCCTCCTCCACATTGACTCTATCAGATGTTGAATTGGTCATTGAGGTTTTGCATTCCTTTCTTGATGGAGCCTATAGTCTGTTTGCAGTGAAAACGTACCGATGAATTTTACTCTAAATAAAAAAGTAAATCGATTAAAGCGAAATTAAGATTGCGAATCCTCATAATTTTACCTTGCCAACTGAACATTCAAATCTCAGAATTTTATTCAACTTAGGATAAAAGTTACGTTTTCACTGCAAACAGACTATAGTGGTTAAGGCTGTAGGTGAATTTGTAGACCAGACTGGTTCGTAGACGTGGAAATCCGGTGGATGAAAAAAGCATATTAGGTAAGTATGATCGGTGATGAAAAATGAAAATGCTTTGCAACGGACCAGGTCTGACAAATGTTTTCCGCCTATGGGACGACTTCCAGGCCGCTAATATATTAAATTGAGTTTTGTGAAATAAAAAAATATATTAGGTAAGTATGATCAGTGATGAAAAAAGCATCAATTATCAACATTCAACTACGCAGAGAGAGAAGAGTAGAGATATACACACAGTATTTCACAATCAAAACAACTCACCACTTCCTAATTAACATTCACAACAACTCAGTGTATTATTAATAATTGTGCATAATTAATTTCATTATTATTCATTATACTATTATTCAATTATCTATACACGTCTACGAAATCACCGTCTACGAACCAGTCTGGGCTACGAGTCCACCGCGTCTTCAATCTGGTTCAGCCTATGAAAACACCGTCTCCCTGTGGTTAAAGCGTTCACTTGTCGCCGCGAAGACCCGGGTTCGATTTCTCACATGGGTACAATGTGAGAAGCCCATTTCTGGTGTCCCCAGCTGTGATAATGCTGGAATATTGTGACTAGCGGCGTAAAACCCACTCACTCATTTCTTGGTGAAGGGATTATTGACAATATATCAAGATGACAATATTTATCTATTTACTTTTTATCCATCCATCCATCCATATAGCCATCCATGCATCCACCCATCTACTAGTGGTGGTCCGATTAATTGAAATAATAAAAGATTGGTCGCAGTGACTAAACGACCAAGCAATCGATTATGTTTTCTCATAATTGAACACAAACAATTCTGGAACCCTTTTTGCATTAACAATATTTTTCACAAGGTTGGTTTTATCAGTTACATTTCATGAGCACTACAAGCTCGTTCCAAGTCATGATTGAATTTATTTTAAAAACCTCAAGAAAGTTATGTTCCTAACATATTAGTCATCCTTTCAAGATGTGAAATTTGCCCCAAAAAAACCCCAAAGAACTTCATGTTTTTTCTTTGTTTTTGTGCATTAACAAAAATAACCAGGAAAAATTCATAAATGACGCTAACCAATTTTTTTCGATGATTGATCGGTTGTAATGAGGCAATCATCAATTTTGAGATTTTAACCAATTCCCAACACTACCATCTACCCATCCATCATGCATCCATGCACCCATCCATCCACCTATTGTGTGTAGACAGACAGACACACACACACACATGCATACATTTATATTGTCAAATGACAACTGGGACATTCTCTTTGTTATGGCTAGCCTGGCAGCAAAGGCACAGGTTGACTTGTAGATTGTCTTCATAATGAAGCCAGCAAAAGAAGGCCAGCAGAGAGCAACCAAACAACAGAAATTGTACATACACCTTTTTTATGCAAACAAACACAGTAAATCAAAGAGACCACAACAAATTGAGAACACATGCACTTGGTTTGGGCACACTTTATGAAGATTGCAGCATATTGTTAAAAATTGCAAAATCGTATTTTGTTCTAAAAAGATAACATTGATCACATGGAAGGATTTGAACTCGCGAATGTCGACTGTAATGCTCGACAAAGAAGAACAGTAGACTAGAGTAGCCTCCCTTTGCGAACTCTTTTGTGAATTCCATGGAAACACAATGCCAAGATGGCAGGCGAGCAATATTGACGATTTTCGCTTATTTTGAATGCGATTTTGAGCTTTATGAAATATGACACGCACTTCAATGGCGCTTGGTAAGTGTCTTTCGCTGTGTTATTTAACTTCGATTCACGAATGTATAATATGTGTACACACAAAGCTAATATCATGATCCAATCTAGAAATCGGGAAGGTACTAGTCCTTCTTTATATGTATATGGATATCAGTGTACGCTTGTAGGACCCAGGACGTATTATTTTCAGCAATACAAGCCCCTGTGGAAGGTACCGAGCAGTGTGTTTTAATGAAATTCTTATATCCCCGTTGTCCTCGTTATATACCATTTCAGGTGCTTAAAAATCAGTCATTGTTTTAAGCACATGATCGTGTTAGGGAAGAACTCAGAGAGATGTCCATTCTGAATAACACATGAGGTTGTATCATAAGTTAACAAAGTAATCCAGCGTATAATCTCAGGACCGAAACCAAATTTTAATAAGACAGAATTTATCAAATCTTTAGAAACTGTGTTGAAAGCTTTTTCAAAATCAATAAACCCGGTATATCTCGTTTCTTAGTTTCAAACATAATATCATACAGTAATCTTGTATTTTCACTTAGTGTTCTGCCTGGTATAAATCCAGTCTGGTTATCATGTATTAGAGAATTTAAGGTAATTTTCAATCGGTTACAGATACACGCACTTATTATTTTATAGAGAGCATTTAATAAAGTAATTGGTCTCCAGTTCTTTAATTGGTTTCTGTTTTTAGTACCTTTTGGTAAACAGGTGATAACTCCAAATCCAATTTAGCCATGTTAAATGGTTCCTGAAATGTTTTAAATAATAACTTGTGGTGAGGGTTAGAGGCTTGAAACCTTACAATTAGTGGGTTAAATAAGGGACTGACATAATGTAGAGTTTCTTATAACTGTTATTCCACTTTCTAGGGTTCAGTTAGCATCCAGGATATTGAAGCAACACCCTCAGAGTGTGAGGTACCAAATGACCAGCCCACAAAGTCAGCAATCTACCTGGGAGTCCACCAGTAGACTGTTTCATAGTTCTAAAGTGACACACTGCATACTATTTTTAATGTTATTTCCATTTTCACCAGAGGATGTTTATTATCGATAATGTATATGACAACAATGTTCTAGCTGTACAGTGCAATCTGTTAAATGGATGTTTTGGTTTTGTGAAATGAACTAAGTTTTCTGAGACCCATGTTAACCTTGACTGATGTCATACACAGTGTTATTTTCAATTCTCAATGTGTAATTCTAAACTAGCAAAATTCTGTATCAATAAATCTGTATTCATTTCTCTTATTTTTTTTCACAAATTAAAGAACATATGAAGATATTTAAACATGATGATGTTTTGTAAGGACTTTGGTCATGCTTCTGTTTTGAAAGACCAACTTCATTTTAGTTTAATTGCTATTTCACCACTACAGAATACAGAACTCATTTTGTTTAAATTTTCAGGTACTGGTGAGAAGTAATATAGCAGTGTCCAATGGCACACAAATTTGTATCTGGGCGACAGCTCAAGAACCTGCTGAATGATGTTGAAAGAGTTCACAAGAAAGATATACATGACTATGCAGGGGGTCACCTAAATGAAACATATATCCATCAAATTGCCATGGCAACAAATCGTGTGCCATGGCAAAGTGCAAAGGAGGTACCCACACCACCTTCAGGTAAACACACTGTGCTGTCAGTACCTAAGCCAAGAAGTGCAAAGAAGGGCAAATCAATGAAAGAGATTCTCTACCAGTTCAGTGTAGGGACCACTGGTAGCATTCCTGTGTCATCACCGAGAGAGTGCAAGTTCCAACACAAACGCCAGCTTCCAAAAAGAGCGAAAAAAGTTCAAGAGGTTCCCCTACCAAGCGTTATTCAAGTGCGAGTAACTCTTCAGCCAAGTCAACATACACGGACCTTGAAGATGGGGTTCTGATAGAGGAACTCGAAGCAACAGAGATGATGATGCCGTCAGGTGTTCGAGGAGGGAGAGATGTGAGCTTTGCTGATGAGGAGACTATGACGTACACAACAGGGACGTCACTCGCCCCAGACAACACCGGGGAAGCTCAAGTTCAAATATACATTCCTCCCCATGCAGAATGTAGGCATAACCAAACAGGACCAATACCGCAAGATCAAGAATTTTGAGTCAACTGTGTTGAGGAAACATGAGACATGTGAACAGAAAGTGTTGTCAGGGGTCAAGGCCGTTGAACATCACGAGAGAAAGCTGCAGCAGGTATTGTCATACAATTCAAGATTTGTTCTTCTTTAGTGGAATTAACTTAGTTATGGCCCTTTGTCATGCTAGGATCCTCTAATCTTGGTTGAAGATATTGGTTAGAATTGATCTTCAGTAACCCATGCTTGTCGTAAGAAGCAGCTAACGGGATCGAGTGGTCAGATGTTGTCGTATCCCAGTTGCGTAGATCAATCACTGGACTGTCTGGTACAGACTCCATTATTTACAGACTGCCGCCATATAGCTGAAATATTGCTGAGTGCTGCATTAAACAACAAAGGAACAAAATCATATTTTCGGTATGTTTGGACAGTGTGTTTGTCAACAGTGACTGAAACAGACATAAAATACTTGTAAACCATTGCCTCCAACATGTCTTGAAACAACAATGTTGTCAGTCCACTCTTCTGCTCACCTCTTTGTGGCTGTATGACTGAAATTATGCCAATGTAATGATAAATTGTAACTGACTCACTGCACACTTCATTAATATCATCAATAGCTTCTTTTAAGTTTGACAGGTAAATATGATTCCATATGTGTTGATGCATCATTGCTCCAATGATATGAGATATGACCAACATCTTGTGTGTTTTAAGAAATTACATCTTTGCAAACATATGAATGAAAATGTGTAAATTAGATTGGATTTTGCAATTCATTGATGAATGTGTTTACGTATAGGTAATGATAATTAGGAAATAAAGTTGGCTCTACCAATGTGTTTTGTAATAAAGTATAGTTTTGCCCTGAACTATTATAATTAAAGCACGAGGACGGTAGTCCGAGTGCTTTGATGTTATAATAGTTCAGGACAAAACTATACTTTATTACAAAACACATTGGGGTAGAGCTTTAACTTTACATCTTTCTAAGATGCCAAATTTAATACTTTCTAAGGATAATTACGATTAATTTAAGGCAGAAAACAAATGACGGTGTCGGTGACCTAAATTAAGAATCCTCGCGACAGGGCTAACTGGTGCGCTGTTCTATTGATGTGTCTGCCCCCTACGCTAAGATCTAACGCTACCAGAAAAAAACAAATGATAACAGTTTGATGACGGTTTACGCTCGATCAAATATCTTCTCTGAATTATTTTAATTACATCTGTCATCAACGTGAAACCATATGGGGCAATATGAACGCCGCATTTCTACTACCAACGTAAGTTTAGATCAGTACATCCAGATGAAGCTGAGTAGTCGCCACATTCCACGATTGCATTGTGGGAATGTAAACATTGCTTAACGCTACCGTGTCGCTGAAAACTTGTGAGTCGAATTGACACATTTTAACCGGGTCGTGAAAACATAAACGTAATGTTTCCACCAGTGATGTTAGCTGCGTGAAGCAACTGCAAACCAAGAAACGGGATGCAACGGAGTAGTTTACTGTAGGAGGCCGTATGAGGCGATGACAACTGACATGCATCGTGACGTCACTTACATTGTGACGTAATGTAAAATAATTCGACTACGAGGGGGCACACTAGAATGGCGCAGTGACGGGATAACGTCATTCAATTGTTACGTCATCAAAAAACTATACCTTTATTGTCTCATAATGTATTTTTTTTCGATTGTTCTAACCGCTAGGCATCTTAGAAACAACGATAGTTAATTTGTTTAGCAGTTGCTCATGTTATCATGCACGGTGGCTATTGGGTGGTTTCCTTTATGTGTTGCAATGAATTTTAACTTTCTTAGATCCAATCTACTGGACATTTTTCACCAGTGGTTCGACTTTTTAAAAACTTATTTTGTTTCTATTCTCTTGTGTTTGTGTGCTGCCCAAATGTCACATAAGTGACATTAATCACTGTTTGAGAGTTCAGGTATAGGTATGTTTAGGTGAATCTTGCATTCCATCATCATATTCCGTGTGTAAAGTTATTCAGGTATGCAAGCTGTAAAGTATTCAGTGATTACATGTTGTGTTGTTATGTGAGTGACTTTTGTAAATGTTTCAAGCATATTTGTTTGCAAGCAGCAAGATTAATTCAGTTATGTAACTTCTTTGAGTGGGACGTACAATATTGAACAAACTATGTGGATAACAACTGCTTTTATTCATTTTGAAGTTTGTTCAATATTTTATGGTGATTTGTTGAGTCAACTTTTCACAAATCCCCAGTTTACCTGGAGCTCAGCCTGTCACTATGGTGCACCAGGGTCTCTGATCAATCATTGATGACAATCAATAATTTTGACATCATTTATTTGTGTCTTCTGAACTGTTATTTTGATTTCCAGGAGTTGGACGCCTTTAACCTGAACGGAATGGGTCCCAACTTCCACAAACTGCAGGTGTACAGTGACACGTTTGAAGACCTCATACAGGAGTCGCCGACATTTGCCTACATCCTCCGCTGTATCAAGGTAAGGAGGCATGCAACAGTGCCAGTCATTGGTAGTACGTCATGTGTGTATAATATATGTACAGTGAAGCCCCGTTAGTCCGGACTCCGATAATCCGGATGTCTCGCCTCCCGGGCGGATTTCAGCTTGTTACCAATCTATGCCTATATAATTTGCCTCGATAATCCGGAAATTCAGTTTCCGGAACCGGACGGTAAGTAGCTGTCACCAATCAGTAAAATAAACAGTAAATTGCTTCACAGTCCGGACGCTGTAAGTCATGTTCACGAACCGTAACAACACCTCCCGGCGATGTTTACTTAATTAACTGGCCAACTGGGTTGTTGTTTTAATTAGACATTAAAAGCTCCCGACTGAAGATACTGTACATTTACCTTTGATTGACACCACAATACAAAGGCGTGGATGACAAGTGAGCTGTTTTGTGATTGGTTAATGTACTTTGACAGACAGATCCGGTCACGTGGACTAAAAGTGATTTTGCTTTACGACAATGCTGCAAGTCAGAAGTGTGCTTCGCTAACTTTGCGAAATCTGACCAAATACCACGTCTCATATTCAACCGATGGATGCAGGAATAATTCGGACATTCAAGGCATACTACAATAGATCGCTTGTTAGACATTAACTCACCTGTGCTGAGGAAGGACGTGATCAGACACGTCGGATCAACATGCGGATGTCACTCGGTAAAATTATTGATGTGATGAATTAAGCTTTACATTAAATGCTTATTTGTTTTATCCAGATTCGTGTCGTTTTTGTAATTCTTAGGGAAGCAACTTGGGTCTTGATTCAGTAGTCCGGACTATTCGCAATCCGGACGAATTTACTGAGAAACGCAACCGTCCGGATTAACGAGGCTTCACTGTATACTATAACCTTTAACGTCTCTTTCCCAACACTACATTACTGAGCTCGTAACACTGGAAACATCGTACCTGTGAATAGTGAGTGAGTGAATATTGCTTAAAGAACAAATGAACTTTGGTTTTTTTTACTCTTTTAATTATTACATATGAAAGATTTGTGGTCAGTCTTATGCGGAACACCAATTTCATTCTTTAAAAAATTGTGGTTAATTAGTACCGAGCGATTAAAAGTTGCCAAAAAGTCGCCTGCTTCACTCTCACCCGCCAACGTCGAAACCACAGACAGGTTACGTAACTCTGTCGCCAGAGCACTGCAGTGACGTCATATGAGGAAGGATTTTCAGTTAGTTGTATAGAAAGTGTGTAGCAAGCTCGTCATTTTAATGATTTCTCGACATCAACGAAGACATGCCAAATCGTTGCGTTGTCGTCAATTGCTCCTAGAGGTCGGGCGATGGTGTCGCCATGCACAGATTTCCACAGGACCCCGCAGTTCGTGCAAAATGGGTTATGTTTGTGAGTGCGAAGTGAGCGTTGTGGAAGCCTGAAACGATATTTTACTTGTGTTCAGATCGCTTCACGGAAGTTAAAGAATCAAAACTACTTACTAGTCGTAGTAAAATATGTACAGTCAGGCCGCGGTAATCCGGTCCTCGCTAATCCGAATCCCCCGACTTCCAAACGATACTCACTGGGCACCAAACCATCTCCCTATATATTGTATACAATTGACACCTCGTTAGTCCGATGATTCAGCTTCCGCCTCCGAACGCTGCTCAGTCGGAACGGATTGGACTAATTAAGTTGTAAACAGCTGCGTTAATCAGAACGATTGAAGTTGACCGCGCTGCCGACTGGCCCGCCCAAAGTGACACGTGGTTTGTTTAGCGACTTAGCGATTCATCCCTTTGATCCCTTGATCCCTTTATCACAAAGCTTAACCAGTCCAGTTAACACTTTAACAACTTTTACTCCAAATATATTGAGTGAGAAGTGTCAATGTGTGTTGTTAAAATCTTCCGCTATAAATATGTACGGGTAAACATTTCACAAATCAATGCATTTTCACTATGGCTTGCCAACCTGCTAAGCGTAAGCGCTTCGAAATTACTGCGTCTCAAAAGAGGGAAATTTGCCTACAAGCGATCGTTAGTGAGACATTTCATCGCATGTGCAGAAGACGACAAACCTCAGTGCATAAACTTACGAGAAGCCTTGCGATTCGTGAAATCTGCATGGGCAGATGTTTCTTGTCAGACGGTCAAGAACTGTTTCAAGCATGTCGAAATTCTGCGAAGTCAAGAATCCCAGATTGATGAAACTGGTGATCTCGAAGATGATATCGTGCTTGCCGACTTGAAAAGGCTACTTCAACGCCTCCGCCTATGTATATGATTGATGACCATAAAAGATTTTCCATGACACAACTTGTAACATAACGATTTCTGCCTCAAGAAGTATAGGGTTGTGGTCGAAGTAACAATAATACTGTTCGTAAAGTAGTATTATATTGATGACCATAAAGACCTTCGCTGACACAACTTGTAACATAAATTGTTATGTTATAGGTTGTATGTCATGCAAAATCCTATTGGCTATCAATCAAATACATATTTCCTACTATCAGTCAAAATATAGTTTTGATTTTTTGATTAACTTTCGGTGAAAACAAACCTAAATAGCATTGATACTCAGACTGGCGGATGTTCGCGACAGAGCGCCATTTTTTTTGAAATCGTGAAGTCACGGGCTAAAGTCTGTTAGAATTAATGAGATTATGGTTTGTTTTCATCAAGTTAGAAAATCAAAACTACTTTCTACTCAGTAGTTAAATATGTATTTGAATCATAACCAAAAGCATTTTGCATGACACAACTTATAACATAACGATTTCTTCCACGGAAGCGAGGTGGGGGTCGAAGTGACAATACTGCGCCGATAAATTTCTTGCTACATTCACGTGGTTAACGTGCACTCACCAGTATGTAGATACTAGTCCATGTACGTCTTTATATTTGGTCTTATAATCCTAATTAGTTTATTATCATACTTGTATGCATTTTGAAACTAAATAAAAGCAGACGATCTGCTGATACTTATAGTGCATTTATAACAGGACTGTAATATCTAGACAGTTTATAGTTTGCCAATGTGAATCATAATTCGCACACACGCCCTAGTGTATGTCTCATTACACTTCACAGCGAAAACAACGATTCTGTTGAATGCTACGACAAATGAATAAAATCAAAATGCAAATATTAAAATTAAAACAGATTAAATTTATAGGAACAATGTCAGGCTATTACCTTGTTCGAGGAATGTATCCATCAATATCCACAAAAACGAGTGATATGCCATTCATCTGCAGCTGTTCCAAGTAATGTGTCTTTTAACAGTCTAGTATACGAAAAAGTGATATATCGTTTCAGGTATGTCACATTGGTGTATAGTCTCATTGGTCACCCAGGATAGCACACCTGGCAACTGATTGCATAATGTCCTCCATTCTTTAAAAACGGTAATTTAGTTAGCCAATAATGAGCAATCAATCACTGTATTGGCGGTTAATCCTTTGAAAGAAGGACGTTGTTTTTACGCAGACACAGACACGAAAGAGTGTATTCAGTATAGATGAGTAAATCTACATACATAAACACTACATTTTGACAAATCCGCCATGTAAGACAAAAGTAATTAATCAATCAGCGTGTTATCGGTTAATCCTTTGATCGATGTTTATAATGTTGAATATTTACTCCAGACACAAGAAATGCCAAATGGGAACCTTTGTCGGGAAATCTAAGTGGTGTTACCACTAATTATACCTGTTATAAATTCATTAACTGGCCATCAAGTGAATGATGACAAATAACATGTGTAGGTTTATAACTCCTAACACAGGTTACCTTGAAAGTTATCTATTACACCTCCCATTAAATGTACGCATTTGGCTTACCTATATTATAACTTGTAACCATAAACTTTCAATAGAAACAGGTAGATGGTATAATATTATTAAAGAAGAAAGATTATGTACACTGTGTAAGAACACAATAGGAGATGAACTTCACTTCATGTTATATTGTCCATGTTTAAGTAATGTAAGAAATTCATTCCTACCTAACTATTATTGTAATTATCCATCATTAGATAAATTTATATCCCTCATGTCTTGTATGCATAAAGCACTATTGTTAAAAAATAAGCAACTATGTGAAAACCGGACGACGATGCTCCCATGAAACAAATCTGTACATTTGTATTTTCTCTGTCACTATTAAGTGATCTTCATGAGAATAAACCATTCATTCGTTACAACTAGGGAGTACAATTGCTGTATTGTGAAAACTTATGGGCCGAAACTGTTTTGAGAATACAAACAGAACTTCATTGTTGTGTAAGAAATACATATAAGCATTTGCTGTGTGCTAAAACTGTATGTACCTAGTTACAATGTACCTAAGTAAAATTTCAGATTCTTCTAGCAATGGCAAAATAGGGTTGTTTAGTTTACCGATTCAAATAAATCAAATGTCAATTTTTAATATCATACTTAATAGATGTCATAGTTTTACATGACATGATTAAATATCAAGGTAAAAAAACACAGAAATGGGATCAATTTGGATCAGTCATTATACAAATAAGGCCTAACGACACCAAGGGATTTTGACAGAATCGTCTATGAAAACAAGTTGTAACTCGGAAACTAGGCAAAGCAGGAGACAAAATTATATGACAGTAGATTGTGAGAACATATAGCTTTCATTTTCCACAACAGTTGTCACGATTTCAGGTTTATACAAACCTGTAAACAAGATAATTTACCCCCTGAAATGTAGATGAATTCTGCATCAGCCCTCATATCTATTCCTCATATGACGTCACAGAGACGCGCCGCTCTGATTGGTTGAAATTTCGTTTGCGGGTGAGAATTGTGCACTGTTGTCAAAAAGGTCGATTTAAGTTGATTAAAGATCGAAGTGAGTAGTTTTAATGACGGGGTTTCATTTATAGCGATGCCAGTTAGTGATTTATGTATTTGTACCCCCCTAGAGTATATGTGATCTTTAACGTCGCATCAGCAATGTTGCAGCTATTCGCGGCAAACCTGTGAATAGACAA